CACGACACACAACATTACCCTGAAAAAGCAAAAAGAGAGCCAACTTAAATATGGCACTTTGTGTCGCTCTAATGTTTTGCAAATTCTCTTACTCTCGAAACATCTATAAACCTAAATCTTTCTTGAATCTCCTCCAGAACCCCTTCTTTTTCTTTTTCTTACCTTCATCGTCTGACCCCGCTTCCGCGGTCTTTGATGCTTCTGGCTGACTTCTCCTAGGCTCTAACTTTAGCCGATCCAAGCTTGTTCGACTTCCGTTTCTGGCTCCAATATTATTAGGGTTGGATACAATCTTACGCAATGAAGAAAGACCAGAATTCGATTGTTTATCTGGAACCTCTAATCCACCCCACTTCAAAGTTCGTGGTGGGGGCGATGAATGATCACCACCATCATCACTTACACCAAACGCAGGCAGCGAGGATTTCTCCGGGGATGTCGCTTCTGGCGATGCTGAAGGTGATACTCCATTGGATTTGATCTTGTTCAACTTTAATTGCTCACTAAGCTCTTTGAATGATAGACCTTGCTCCTTTGAAGCTTGGTTCTTCTTCTCTCGCTCCTTCTCATCTTCTTGTGCTAAAAGTGACTTTGTTCTATACGCATTCACTCCAAAAGAGTTTGATCCAGTGATTTCTCGCGCTAATTTTGCGCCTTGGCCGCTGCTTTCTGGTTGAATAGCAATAATCTGAGAACATTGGTCGATTGAATTATCTGTAATAGCCTTGGCAATGTCGACGTAGTACGATTCGTTTATTGGCTTCCGCAATAGCTGTTTCAACTGCCTCTTAATATCTCTTTGATGAGTAGAAAACACTTGAGCAATTTCTTCATACGAGTCAGTAGACGTTGTTGAGGAGTCACTTTCACGTGATTCATTAGATGCTATACTATCCATGTCATCGTCGCCACCCTCGTCGTCACCAAGAGCATCTTCCCCTTCTTCCTCAATTGCACTTTTAGTGTCCTCCATACTCGTGCCATTGATCCTGCTTTGTAAGGCGTATTCAAAATCACACATATTGACAGCGGGAACAACAATGACAGGAAGAGGGAAATTCTTCACCAATCTGTCAGTCAACTTGGACGAGCGCCATGACCTCAAGGGAGCTCCGAACGCCTTGTTGGGTTTCGTTCCTGTGCACACAATATTTGGCTCATATAATCGATACATGTCCTTTAAAACTTCCTTTGTGCGGCCAGCAACGAGCTCAATTGTCACTCTAGCAATAACATCGGGGTTGATAACCTGAAATATGTAATCCATGAGGTTCTTGGCAATATGCGTAATGTTATCAGGTTCGTTTCTCTGTTCAAATCTTTCCAATGGATCGGTTCTTCCTCTAGAAGGTGATCTCGATAGTGCAAGCTGGCTTCTTCGTGTCACTTTTTTCCTTTCAGCCTCCAACACATCGGGGTCAAGTGTTGCACACACAATAATCTTGTCTCCGTTTACAATAAATTTGTTCATAATCCAGTCCAACGCTACCCAAGTATGCTGTCTTGCACTAATATAAACAAGTATAGTCCTATGGGGCAATATGGGAACCAAGGGTAGCAATTCCAAGTTGTACAATGGCCAGTACAATTTGTGACGTTGGGTTAGTGAACAAAACCTACGAGTTGTAATTGGTGTAGTTGGATACTTGACATTTAATTTCTCCAATCGCCTCAACTCTGCAAGTTCAGAGCTGTCCAATTCCTCGTATACATTGCGCGTCGGAGAAGGTGAGTTGATCCTTTCGCCTATTGAATAAGGCTGTCTCCCACGAATATAAGTCGACCCAGGTCTAACATTCCCATGCTTGCGCTTGTAAATCTCCCACCCATAATCATCATCTGGATCCGGAATGTCATCATCGTCAAACAGAATGTTCACATCATCAAACGCAACCTGTTTCTTGTACAAGTGCTGAACATCTCCGTCGCCCTTCTCATGAGGTGTGAATTTGATGAACCGGTAATTTGTAGACAGCCGGTTTGTCAACTTATTGAGCAAGTCATCTGCATTCGTGCTCCCATCTGCCGGGCTGAAGTCCGACGTTCTTCGACGTCTTAGATTGCCCACATTTGCTGCTGTAAATGCTTGTACACCATCCGCATCACCGTCAGTCGAGGCACGGTGGACCGGATATTCATTTGAATGATGATCGGAAACTACAACTTGAGGTATGGAACTCATTGGCTAGTAGTTGCGAAGTTGAAAAAAAAAAAAAAGAAAAAGAAAATGGTCCGGTTTGAATGAATTGTCGTGTGATAAGACTAAAAGTGAACGACCTGCTGTTGAAACTAGATGTCTAAAGGCTGCAATGGGCTATTAAGTTGAAAACTCGCTTCTCAGAACTGCAAAAAAACCAAACTATGTGGATGCAAGGAATCGTTTGCTTACTGTCTCTTTGCAAGCAAAATGTATTTTGATAAAATCCCAAATTGTTTGCTTCTCGCTGTTTTGTTTTGTATGTTGGTTTACTGAAGAGCAAATACAATTGCGTAACAAAGATACAGTACAATTAATGTAAATGCTAAGATAAAAAACAAAAAATAAAATAGAGGAAAAAAAAAAAAAAAGGGAAAGAACGGATTCAGCCGTAGGACGAAAGCGAAATCTAACTGCAGTACGACCATAAAAAGTTTGTCGAAGTTGGTTCTAAAACAGTCTGAACAGTTTATTTCTGGACCTAGACGTGAAACACTCAAAGTTCTTTACAGGCAGCACAAAAGCCTCCACTCCTTCGACTCTTCAATAATATCGTCTGATTATTTTTGTAAGGAGACAACGCTACCTATTAAAAAAAAAAAAAGAAAAAAAAAAGAAAAGTAATTCACTTGTCCCTTTATTTTGCTCACACACAATCCAGCCGAGGGACAAAAAGAAGGCTTAAAAATAGCGCATTTGTTTGCAACCAAATCTTTTTACTATTTACACTGTTTATGAGAACCAACTGCTTATTTGCGATAGTACTTTATATATACGCAGACCAACCTCCATACATCTGTGCCAATCTCTCCATCGACGTAGCCTCCTGGATCAAAACGTCAACTTGCCCGTGTATATTCATTGCCAACCCTTCATCTTCATTCATCAAACCCCTGATCTTCTTCCGCACCTTCATCAAATCCCTTTGTGGATCCTGGTTCTTCCAATCCAATAATGGGTCATATAGAAGCGTTTCCAAAATATTCATCAACGACTGCTCGTTGTTGCGCAATAACTGACCGGTTTCCTCACAGGATATACGGAAGCTTCCATCAACACCACATATTCCCATTGCATCAACCATGTTCTGTGTCAATCTAAACGGAACAATCTCCGGCGTGGGTAACGTCTTTCCCTTTTCAAACAAACAATCAAAATCAATGTGAAGAATGGCCCCTGTATTCTTGAAGAATAAAATATTTTCACAGTGTCGATCTCCAAGCCCAACCAAGTATCCCACAATAGACATCACTGCCGCCGACCGAGTGAATTTGTTTCTAGCAATATACCACGCACTGGGGTCGGAAAACTGTTCAATGAACCATTGATGTAGCACTGGTTCGTTGTTTTGCACAATCGTAGTGAATAATTGCACCAAGTGTTTTAACTTTGTCTCATCTGGTTTACGCTCCTGGATAAATTTTTGAGCACTATTCAACGCAACAAAAATCTTGCGCTCATTAACAACTTTCCCCAATCGTTTCCTTTGCTCATTCACAATTCCCTTCATAGTTTGTACATCCATCACAAATTCAATAACCCCGATCTTCTCCGATAGTGGAATCACTGAATAATTGGCCACATTAAGCCCCCTCTTTCTCGCCTCTGTACTCGTCGAAAGTATACGGTTAACCATTGTTGTAAATTCAACAACTTTAGCATCTTTTCGGGTATCATCAGCTTTGACCATTAACCTGTAAGGGTTTCCGTCTGAACCTCGAATCGTGACTTGTCTTGGCATTTGCAATGAGAAAAATATATTCACCACATCGTCAAATCCATCGAATGTGACCGAAGCATTTTTGGGAAATGCAACATAATTGGCCACCCCTTTGCTTGGGAGTCGTATTTGTAAATTGGACTGTACGGGTATGACTAGTTCGGGATATGGCTTACTGGCGTCTTCGACTCCAAAATACTTTGACAACGACAATTGCTTGGTTCTGGATGACTTGCTAATTGGCTTAGATGCAATCTCTATAAGTTTTTCAAAAAGCTCCAGTGCAGCCAGAATCAAAACCCCATGCGACTTTTTGCTCTTTTTCACCGACTCTAATATTGTGTTAACTTTTAGTTTCCGTTGGGGATCGGTTGAATGTATATGAGAGAGAACATACCACAAACTGTGGTGTGGGTACTCGAGAATTATATTTGACACCACATTTGCCATTACCTTGAACGACGGTTCATGAGCCTGAACAATTCTTGAAAGTATTTGTGTAATAACAGTATACCAAGCATATGTGGCCACACTCTTTAAACCTGTATTCAAGTCTTGAATGATTTGCTGCAATCGTCTTTCGGCAGACTTGGTCTTGTTGGGCCTCTTTGCAAAATCTAACCAAATTGTAATTAACTTGGGAAGCGCCTCAAATATGAACAGTGAGCCAATAGAAACTGCTCTGATAAAGTTCCTCACGGTCAAGTGCTCATACAACCCTGAAGTATCTTTAGAGGACTCGATCAACTTGTTGTAATATTTCCCGATATCGTAGCTTGCCTTCTCATATTCCTTGTCTAATACAAATGCCTTCGTATATTCTTCCACAATTTGGTGAGCAGACAAATGGTTTGACTCGTCCAACCAATTGGCGTACTGAAGTTGTACTCGAGCTTTAGATTCATTGTCAACAAGCCGTCCAGAAGTTAAAACTTCCAATATTGTTTTGATTGCTTCCGATTGTTTGCCCTCTTTCCACAATAACTTGGCAAACTCGATATTTGCCGCAGAGTTGTTCAATGCCATTGCCCGCACTATGGACCTTGTTGAAAAATCGAGTCGATCATTTTCACGTGCAAGGCTCGATTGAAGTAAAAATATATCAGACACTTGTTTCTCATTCTCTATGATGTGGTTGGCAACTGCGTGGATAGTCAAAATTTTGTTCTGTGCTTCAAAGTCTTGGTCAATATTACTGAATCGTACTTTAAGAACATCATTATTATGACCAGCTGACGATAGTATATCTCCCATATCGTGCAAGGAGTGTAGTTGATTCATCAAACTGATATTCTTATTGAAACTTGAAGAGTCGGACGACACGAGCGACAGACCAATCACGGTGTATAGCTTGTCCAATGTCTTTGCAAAATCCGGCGACTCGTTGTTGTACAACTTTTGTAAATACCTTGCCAATTCATAACTTACAACGGTCTCGGAATCCTTGGCTTTTCCTAAAGAGTCCGTAACCTGAAGCCACTTTTGTAACTGATCTTTCTTTCCAGAATATACGGCGGATTTCAACGCCACCAAAGACCAGGCCAAGGGAATTTGTTGTATCATACTAGCATCAGTGGTTGATGAAAGCGTGGAAAGTACGTCATCATAAGATCCATGTTCATTCAACGCCTTCAATAACTTGGTATTGTACTCAACCGAAGAGTCCTCGCCTGCCCCCAACACCTTGAATGACTCCAACGCCAAACTCCAATTATCATTGTACTGAAACGAGGCCAACTTTTGTTTTACATTATTTGTCGAAAACAACTTCAACACTCCATTCAATGCATCGTAATCATTGATGCTGGCATACATATTCTGCAACGTCTTTGATGCATCTAATTCACCAAGTTTAAAAGACTTGTCGTCAATATGACCATCCCGATAACACTTTTCAATGTAAAGAATCGTGCGCTCGTATGAGTCACATTCTGCAGATTTGATTGCAATCAAATCCATACCAAAAGAGTCAAGAAACTTTTTCACCAATTCCAATTTATCAAGCCACATCTCAGAGGTGCTCACGTCCAGTGAGACCAGGTAGTTGGCAAATTGTCTAGTTGCTGATAACCATTCATTGCAATAGTCAAATACTGAAAACACAGACTGGAAGCAAAGTTTCAACTCCTCAGCACGATCGTTTGGCATTTTCTTCGTGTCTTGCTCAAACAAATGTTGAAATTCTTCCAACAACTGCCTTTCCACATCATGATTTAGACATAAAATGTGGTTGAGAACAACGTACTTGAAAAGATGTTGACAAAGGGAAATGTTGTGATCCTTTTGAATCAATATTGCGCATGTTTGAAAAATCCATTGGCGCGGGTTGGGATTGGCTCCTTTCTCATACTGGCTTGCCCGTTTCAACAAATACAAGGTAACGTCAATCAACCAAGTCTCGAACTTCATTCCCAGTTTGAAATAGGGGAACTCTATCTGCTCTAATTTGGGTCGTGGTGCTGAATACCTGGAGCTCAAGAATGGGGTCAATGTTGATTTCGCAACATCACTAAACCTGTCCCATATGGTTTTGTCTTCCTTCAAAGACTCCTTCGTGATTCCCATGATTGTTAAAAAACTTTGCATGGCGAAAGCTGCAAACAATTGCTTTTGTGGATCATTTGAAGACCAAAATATATTCATCGCGTAGTTCTCAATTAAATCAACCAAAAACACAGCGTTTTCTTTAGTGCTATCAAAATTCCGCTGAACAACAATCAGTTGCTTTACTTTCTTGAAATGAAACTTGTTAGCATCCAACGCACCCATAACAGCCAAAACCTTGGCGCATTGTGATGTGATTGTGGCGCTCCTATTCTTGAAGTGGGTGGCAGTGTCCAATACTGTTCGCACCAATACCGCTATGGTATCATGTAGTGCTGGATCTTTAAAATAATCCGCTTGGCAGTTGAACTGATATTTTTTGCAGTAATTGTAAAGATCAAATAGCGCTTGCTCAACAACATACCGGTTTCTAGTCTTGAGACGTCTGTTGAATTCTTGGAAAATCGTTAATTTTGACGGTGGCTTTATATTCTTAAACTCCTTGACAAACCCATAATCTGACATGTAATCCAAAAACGCAATTGACAAAAAGTACAAGGCGTAACGATTATACTTATCCTTGATTTCTGTATAAATTTTTCGCAAGACGTCTATGGCAATTCGTTGAGCTTCGGGACCAAATGACTGAAATTTCTGGAAAATGAGCGAAATGATAATGTCAAATAAAGAAATCAAATGCGCCGGTGGTAATTTTTGAACTAGTTCATTCCAACACTTCAATGTCAAAATGTGGAAATCTGGCTCTTCTAATGATGCTTGTAAACATGTTGATAATTGTCCAAGAGCCGATGTCAAGGCCAAGCTATGGTTTTTGATCAAGTACAAAATGGCTCTGAACGATGCTCTTCTCTCCAAATACGGTTTGGCGCCTCTCAACAGATACGTAACATCGCTGAATCTCTGTACCAACAACAAAACCTGTTCTTCAATCAACATACCTGCCATTTTGCCCTTTTGTACCCTTTGGTTCTTTTGTGCTGCCAAATTCTTAGCTACGGTCTCCAATGCAGATATTATGTTGGACAAGTTTCTAACATTGTCCTTTTCGTCCATTTGGATCTCCATCAATATGTGCCACGTAATGTCACCGATATGGGTGAAAATCTCTTGAACTGAAACCAGTCTGTAGTGTGGACAAACACTGCTTAGCACCTTGAGAACATAGACGTCATTTAGCGGGTTATTGACCAAGTACGAAGCAAGAATACGAGGTAAGTTCTGAGCAAGAAGCTTTTTCATGGGCATATTTGCAGCTTCGGCAACTTCAACCAACAACGTGGGATCCTTGTGGTATTCTAATAATTTCGGCACAGTAAACTCCTTTGTTCTGTTTAAAAAATACTTCCGGTCCAATCCCAAAAGCAGAAGAGATTTCTCAAATAAGCTTTCCTTTTTGATGATAACATCAGCCATACTTGGTAAATATGGAGATAGTAACTTATATGTTGAAACATTCTTACTATTGGCAATATCCAAAAATCCACAATACACATAGTTCAGATGTTGCTCATTGGGTTCACCTAGCCAGTCCACTAGTTTGAAATACACTGCACATAGTCTTTCGCCATTGCAAACGCGAGCTAGCTCAACCAAAGCATAAATAGTGGATTCGCCAAAATGGCGTCTATTCCATGAATTGAAATGGATTTTTGTTATACGTTCAAAAATGTGTTTGAATATCCGATCCAAGGTCGCATCATCAGTCTCTTGAATGAGGTACAACGGTAGTATGCGAATAATCAACATTCTAAGGGATCTATTTCGGTGGGTTGACAAAAGATTTAGCATTTTATCTAATAAAGTCCAATGAACATCACCCTTGGCATTTGACGGCAAGTAGTTGGCATAGTAATTGTAAATCATAAGGAAGAAGTTGCATGCGAGTAGAGGTTTCGATGCCCAAATTTGCATCCGCGAAAGGAAATATTTTTCAACTATTTCATCCAATATCAACGATTCGGTAGTGCTTTTGACCGGAGGACGATTTTTTTTAACTGCAGAATACAGATGTTTGATTTGCAAAAAATCTGCATCGTATGTGCTCAAATTCTTTGTAAAGGCTCTGGATGCGAAATTTCCCAATGCCGTGATGAGCGTGTACATCGTCTCCTCTGCCTCCAATTCCTTTGAATACTTTTTTGTCAAATCTCGAACGTGTCGGATCCAATTCAAATCATTGACTCCATTGCTCGTGATGTCCGTTTCGTGATATTCAAGACCCGCTTTGACTATGAAATCTAGGCTCGTATCAACAGCACTAGACGGGAGTAGCTTAGCTTTCAATTCATTCAATTCTGGGTTTGAGTACTGGTAGTTTGCAAAGTCTATTGGAATTTTGTTTTTGAGTTGTAAGTCTGGATTATTGGATTCAATATGGGTCAGTATCACAGCCAAAGTGCATTTTACTGGCAATGGGAAAGCCAGTTGCATCGCTGCCTTTGCAACCAAACGGTCCAAGCACAATATGGAATCAAAGTTGGATACAATACCTCTTTCATTGCAAAGAAAATAGATCTTAAACAAGGCCAACGATACCGACTGGTGCAAATTCAAACACTCACTTCCATTGAAAGTGCTGTTAATTTGCTCAAAATCTTGTTCAAGTATGTTTGTGACCCACGTTAAGAGCTGCTGGGTCTTGCCCCAAGTATTTTGCTCGTCAAGAAGCGCGTTATCCAAATGTGTAAGGATTAACAAGGACTTATAATAGTCCACCATGTAAAGTGACTCATCTGAATTCAAAATGCTCATTTCTTGAAGAACAAACCACAATTTTCTACCAAAGCTCTCATATTTTAGTTGTTGGTTACTGAGATTCAATGAAAGCTTTTTTGAAATGTCATAATCACTCACAACTGAGTACAACTCACAGCAGGAGATCAACTTTTTGATATAATCAGGATTGGTGCTGTATGAAATATCATTCAAGCAAAATGAGATACCGTTTTCCAAGAGGCGAGTGACATTCTCTTGTAACAACTTGATGAATTTGAAGTTGTGTAACCTAGTAGAAACCAAGTTGATAACCAGTATCAAGAGAGTTTTCAACTTATCCAGCAATTTCCGCTTGCTCCAGACGTTGGCTATATGCAGTAATAAGAATGATATCATCCATTCATAAAGTAACACCTCCTGCAATGCAACTAGCCGCGATCTTGAATCCGTTACATGAATCAGACTGATTTCCTGAAACTTTAAAGACGCGTTTAGCAAGTGCAATTTCTTGCTCAATACAAGCTCAATTGTGTTAATAATTCTTAAAATTGTGTCCTCGATATCTTTCCGATACACGAGAGAAGCATCACTCAATTTGGCATTCAAGAACTGAAATAAATAAAGAATTAATTTTTTAAAGTCTGTTTCTTGATCATTTATGTTGGCCTCTATGTCAGATAAAAATTGGTGAAGCTCTTCCAAACTTAATTTCAGTACGGGTGCCATAACATCGCTAGTTTGAAGAGCCACTGAACTAGATGTATTGAATAGAAACTGTGGTTTGTGCAGATTGTGAAGTGATCTGGAAAAGAATTGAGTGCTTACGCGTACGGCTGCTTTTCTTTCTTTTTTTTTTTTCTTTTCTTTTCTCACATAGAAGATTATAACATCCATCGGAGTTGTAAGATTTCAACTTCAGCTACACAGTGAATGCTTGATAAAACATTTGTCGCATTAAAAACCTATTAAACAGAAGAGATGGAGAATAAGTTGGAGATGTGCTGGAACACTTGGTGTACTTGTGCGGTATACTTGTGCGTCTTTCAATTCTGATGCAAGCGGGGCCTGGAAAAGACTTTTCACAATGGCCCCAAACTTATCCCAGTTGCTCCAGTAAGATGTACACTCGCAGCCGAAACTCGCAGCCGAAACTCGCATCAAATCATTGGCCGTAGTTGATTGGCCTTTTGAATAACAAAATGTGGGGTTCTGGAGCATGTGTTTCGTAATGCACCCATCCCAAACTTTGGGTAATTCCCAATCCTCTCCACTCTTCTTCAAGTAGTATTCTCAATGTTCCAGTTTCCGGATTGAAGTAATCTTGAGGTATTACTTTGAGCATGTTTTTGGGCAACATGACATGCCTATACTCGTGTGTATCGTCGCTGTATCTTGGACTGTAGTGTATCATATCTTGAAATTCAAGCACTTTGGCTCTCTCTGGGTCTGTCAAGTATCTTGGTTTTGTCGACATTTTGTATGACGAGCGTATGTGAAGAATATAGTAGGCTCTTTTGTATGTGGCTGAACTAGAACGTGTCGTCGTCTAACGAAAGTAAATGAGTAACAGACACGTAAAACAAAAGCTCTGCTTTTTGACTAGTGGCTGTTTAATTCAAAATCACGTAGAAAAACAGTAAGCAGGAATGTAGCTATCGTCAATGGGACGAAAATAATATCGTAAATTAAGGGATTGGTTTTCGACTTTTCCTCAAGTTTTCTTTTTCTTTTTCTTTTTCTTTTTTTTTCTTTTTTTTTTCTTTTTTTCTTTCCAACTTTTCTGCTCACAATTTAAAATTAGTCGGCCCAGATATCGCTTCACGCGTCGTCTAATTGATGCATCAAAATATTAGACTGAAGAATGCACCCCCAATTTTAGGGTGTGTGACACTACTAAAATCAACTTTACCTGACTGGTGATCTATCTCTGCTTCTGTGTGAATGGCGCGGGTCTCTATGTGAATGCCTATCCTTTCTGGAGCTACGTGATGAGTGCTCTTCTCCAGATCTGCGCAGTCGATGTCCATCACTGGGCTTGTGACGCTTGTGTTTGTCTCGTGAATCATGGTTTCTATGCCTGTCTGATGAACTGTGCAGCCCATGCGAAGAACCAAAACGTGACTTGTTGTCACCTCTACCTTCACCCGTTGAAGATCTAGAACCGTTGTCATCTCGTCTCTCTGTCCCAATGCGTAGTACATCTTTCTGAGCTTGGTTGCGTTTCTTCATTTGTTGCTTTTGAATGAGTGCCATTGGATCGTCACCATAGCTACTCGAGCTCGATTTCTTCAAAGCTCCCAATCCAATCACCTTCTCCATTCTATCGCTTGTGAATCCGTTGCCGTCTCTTTTCTTAAAGGCTCGATTCCCACTCAACAAGTTTTCTGCTTCTGTTTTGCCCTCCGTGAATTCTGCAGTTGTTTCAACAAACCCACCCGAGTTTGTCACTTCGGACTCTTGTTTTTCAAACGGTACATCCTCATACATCCAACTCAATTTTGAAACTTTCAATTTCTCATTGCTCGATAGTTGATCTTTACTAAAGTTTTCACCATATTGTAGTTTCAAAAGGTCCAAGTACTCTTGCTCCTTTTTGAACTCGAGGTTCTTTTCCTTTGACTCTTTTAGCTCTTTGAGTTTCTGTTGTTCAAGTTCCCATACTTTTTGCTGGTTTTTTACCAAAGCAGGATTCCACGACTTTTTCAAATTCAAGTCACCTGCCATGGTCAAAGGTCAAAAAGATGGTGTTGAAGAGTAGGCTTGATAAAAAGGCGGGTGGAGATCCACTGAATTAGAGCGCCATTCCTCTAACTGACATCACAGAATTAGAAGAAGCAAAAAAAAAAAACAAAAAAAAGAAAAAAAATAAAAAAAATCAAGAGGCAATAACAAACCATACAGTCAAAGAGTTTCCATAGATATATAAATATATATATATATGTATATATGTATATGTGTATGTGTATGTAAATTCAAAAACACCTATACAGTACGCAGTGACAAGACCTTAGAGCCAGTTGCGCAGATAAAAAGCCTCGTAAAAACCAACCACACATGGCTGTACGCTGTACGCTGTACGCAACTGTAGCATCTATAGCCTGCTCCGTTCCTCAAAAACCATGAATCTTGATATTCTTTTTTGGCAACTGCAACTGAGTTGTCAAGAATTCAGAAACTTTGGTTCTTTGATCACCTTGTAATTGGATAACTTCGCCCAAGTCATCGTCCTTAACGATGTTTCCGTTACAAGCAAAGTCCTTCTTCAAGACTTTCAAGATTTTCTTCAAATCATATTCATTTGGGACACCTTGAACTGTAGTTAAAGTTTTTCTACCGTTACGTTGTTGAATACGAATATGGATGTAGTTTGTTGGCTGAGCTTCGGAATCACCAGTGTCGGCGAATGGATCAAATGCGTTTAAGTTTTGGATAGTTGACATAAAAGTAAAGGAATAAGCGATAAAAAAAAAGACTCTGCTCTCTTTTCTGGGTGGCTGTAGTAAATTTGTTAAAGGTGGTGGTGGTGGAGAAGAAGAAGAAGAATAAGAAGAAGTGTGTTTAGATTAGTGATATATGGCTTTGGAATACCCTTTGGCTGATGTGAATAATCTTTTGATATGATTAAATATATATCTCTCTCTTCTGAAAAAGAAAAGAATTTGAAAGAGAGAAAAAAAAAAAGTGACGACAGCGAAAGCAAAAAGCCAAAAAAAAAAAAAAAAAAAAAAAAAAAAAAATAATTTTTTCNAAAAAAAAAAAAAAAAAAAAAAAAAAAAAAAAAAAAAAAAAAAAAAAAAGAAATTATTTCTGTGTCACACCAAACACACACATCCTTACATCAATACTGCAACCTAAAAAAAAGAGAAGAGAAAAAGTTGTGGACCAAGATTGTGCAATTGCACACTACCTTTTTTGTATCTTGTTACACGACTAATTTTGTGTGTGTGTTTATTTTGGCATTGGTACACTACCCTTATATCACAATTGTGAGCAGCGCGCCATTTGGTTAGCTCTCTTTTATATTTTTTTTTTCATGTGAAGAAATGTGCACTTATTAATCAAAAGTTGGCTCGTTAGTATATCCTTCTTCTATTACTCTGGAAAAATATATGTTGTCTTCATCCAGACTTCATATTTGGCTGTTGGGTTGTAGCTCCTTCTGTTGTTCTTAACACCTACAGTTTGAAGTCTTTCACATCCCCAATATCGTAATCAATCTATCATTCCTGTCTTATCCTCCCCCCCCTCCCCCCAACAAAAAAAGAAAATAAAAATGCGCAAAGTGAGGGGAGGAGGGAGCAGTTCTAATGAAAAGGCCATGCAGTGAACGATTCATGTAGGGGAGATAGTGAATCCTTCAGCAACCCCACCGTCCTGTTAGTAATGCATACATACTGGTTTAGTAATGATGATGATGATGATGATGTGTGTGTGTGTGTATGTGTGTTTATATCTCCTGTAGTGTAGTTGTGCCTGGCTTCGTCTATACATCTATCTATCTATCTATCTAATGTCTTGTGTAATAATTTAAAGTGTTGTGTTTTCTCACTTCTTCTTCTAAATCAATTTGTCTTCAATAAAGAAAAATTCCATACAGAGCAAAAAAAAAAACAAAGTACAACCGTCACAACAGTGAAAAGTTCTACAATCTCCCAGCAACTTTACAAGATCAATTGCTAGATATAATCTTGTCAGTCATAGGCAGTTGATACATCTGATTAGAGGAAAAGCTTTGAGATAATTGATTACTATCGATTACAACCACTTCAGATTAATTTATTTTATTTCTTTTTTTTTTTCCCTCAACCATAAAACCAAAGATTGGGGGAACAGAGATCATCAAATATACAAAGTTGCACTGAACACTGTGAATCCAATCCTTCTAGAACAGATAACAATCGGTCAAAAGCTACATACAACAACCATGAGCCATAAGCACAGTAAAGGAGCTGATGTCGATGGCGACGCCGCCTCTATAAAAACTCCAGCAGCATCTACATCTGTAACGCCATCCATATCCAAAACAGAAAACGACAACAAGTCATCAGAGGGAGGGCTGGTGATCAATGAAAGGGAAAAGAAAAAACAAGCATTTGTAACCAGAACAATCTGGACGTTTGTCATGATTGGTGGCTTTTTCATCGTTATAGCTTCGGGCCACTTGCCGATAATTGCAATGATATTGCTATTCCAATTCTTGACATTCAAAGAGGTTATTGCATTAACCTCGGAACCGGCGAGAGATAAAAAGATTCCTTACAATAGATCACTCAATTGGTATTTCTTGGTTACTACGTGGTACTATTTGGATTTCCCATCGTTGGTGGACTTTTTCCAGGACCAAATCTATTCAAACAAATTTCTTACTTTAATCATCTTAAACCACAAGATTATCAGCTACTCGTTATACATTGCCGGATTTGTGTTTTTTGTTTGGACGTTGAAAAAGGGTTACTACAAGTTTCAATTTGCTCAACTCTGTGTCACTCACATGACTTTGTTGTTGGTTGTATTCCAAGCACATCTCATTATCGGAAACATACTAAATGGTATCTTTTGGCTCTTTTTACCATCAGCATTGGTCATTGTTAATGACATCTTTGCCTATGTATGTGGAATCACCTTTGGTCGCACTCAATTGATTGAAATATCGCCCAAAAAAACAGTTGAAGGATTTGTCGGTGCTTGGATTTGCACTGGTATTGCTGCAGTCATTGGCTCACTTATCTTGTCCAAGTCTGACTATTTGATTTGCCCTGCCCAGAATTTATCAACCCACTTGTACAATTATCCAAGTTGCGAACCAAACCCCGTGTTTATCCCACAAGTTTACCAGTTGCCACAAAACATAGTCGACCTTTTTGGAGGCAAGGTTGAACTCGTCACTTTCAAGCCAATCTACTTTCACGCTGCAGTTCTTGCAACTTTTGCATCCTTGATTGCTCCCTTTGGTGGGTTTTTCGCAAGTGGTTTGAAGAGAGCTTTTGGTATCAAGGATTTTGGTGACACGATTCCAGGCCATGGCGGCATTACCGATAGATTTGACTGTCAATTTTTGATGGGCTCATTCACTTACTTGTACTATCAAACGTTCATCAGTAATCACAATATGAACTTGGGCAAAGTTTTGCAAATGGCAATCATCAATTTGAGTGCACCACAATTGATTCAATTGGTAAAGAGCATTTTGAGGTACTTGAATAGAGAGGGCGTTGTTGATGATGAGAAGTTGCAAGTAATTGTTGAACTATTGGCTAGCTGATTATTACCTGTATAATAGTGTACGAAGAAAACAGAAAACAATGTGGCTGTTATGTACACGATCAAGACAATGATTACTTCTGTCTGAATATACGTCAAATCAAATCATACCTGTTTATTGTAGTGGAACTAAGTCTCTAATATATGCTCTCCCCGAATCTTTATCCAGCATCGTAAACAAGGCTTTTTGGCCATAGTTGGTAGCGTTGTTGTTGTTTTTTTACTGGTTTTGTCTTGCAAGCCGCCGCTCTTTCCTTTTTGGGATTTCGCATCCAGCAGAAATTTGAAATTCGTTGGTTCAATGTGGCTGGATAAAGTGTGGCCACAAATCACAAATGGCGGCCGGTACAGCAATGCAGGATCAAGCAAATTTTGCAAATAACACCCATGCATTATGCTTTGCAGAAGTTGTGGCATTTAATTCTTGTGGTTGGACAGAGATTTGGCTTATAGGTAGCCAAAGAGTACTGGGGTGAGTGTACCTGTACTATAGTCTCACCGAGCAGAGGCTGTTATCTCTGCAAAAGACGCACCTACGGGAGGGTGTGGACAAATTAAGAATCCACGAGTGTAGCAGTGTGGTCTAGAGTAAGCAAATCAATGTTTCTAAAAATATACCTAGATCCATTGTTTGCAACAGAGGCAGATCAATCTACAGATCGGGTAATAGATCAAACTACAAATCAAGTAACAGATCAGCTAAACAGTCACTGCTGGCTGTCATTTTCCTAATTGGAAACAATTCAACGTTTTCCGTAGAGAGAATTGTGTTTCTCTTATTACCACTCGCTAGTTTCCCTTTTTTTTTTATTATTATTATATTTTTCTGCTTGCTGCAAAGTTAAATCGACTTTCCTATTTGGGGCTTTTGCTGCGCACTGAACCAAGTCAAAGTGGTACAAAATTGGAAGACTTTTTGTTGCGAAATCAGTCTGGACCAAAGTTCCTTGCAAAAAAGGGGTGTCTAACCTAACCTAACCAGCCAACCAGCCAGTCAGCCTTATCCATGAGATGAGTTGGCACAAGGTACTATAAAAGGTGGACAAATTCTGACAAGAATTGTTGCCTTTGGTTTTCGCTTCCTTTTTTTCCCCTCTTTATAAACTTTTACACTCGTTACTTCACTACATTGTTATCTCAAACCTACTTTCGTTCATTCACTAAGGCCACTACACTACACTCGTTACAAGATTCACCTTCATTCATTTAAGTTACACTACAAATTCAAGCTACACTACCCTCGTTATATATCAACATGATTGCCATACTATTTACATTCTTATTTATCAACCTCATATCTGCTGCTCCAATACCAGCTATCATAACAAGGTACCACACTGCTGCACCGGTCACCGAAGTTGTCACACACACCACCGGTACAACCACTGTATGGTTACCACCAGTTGGCATTTATGTATTGGCCGATGGAAGCTCATCAACAAGCACAATTTGGAGTGGACAATGGAACACTTATCCAGCTACATTCACATCGAGTTTGACTGATGGTAACGGCAACACTCAACAAAACGCTCAACCAACTACTTCTACCCCTGCTGCTGACACCACTCCAACAAATGAACCACAGACTGCTCAAACTGCAGGAAACACTCAGCCAACAACTCAAGGCCAGACTACTCCTGCTGCTACTACGTCAACCTCAGCACCTGAACAGCAAACGACATCAACTTCAGCACCTGAACAGCAAACTCAGCAAACTTCAACTACTTCTTCATCAAGTTGGACTCCATCTTCAAGTTCATCAACATCCTCCAGCAGCAGCAGCAGCAGCAGTAGTAGTGTTAATGACGGAGATTCAGACAACATCTCACCACCTTCAACAATTGTATACTCACCATATGCAAACGACAGAAGCTGCAAATCCTCAGATGATATCAATTCAGACTTGGAGCTCATCTTTAGCAAGGGAATCAAGCAAATTAGATCATACGGAACTGACTGTGGCTCCTTGACCACCGTGTTGCAAAAATGTAAAGAATTGGGCATGAAAGTCAATCAAGGAGTTTGGGTTTCCCAAGATGGTGTCAATTCTGCTGACGATCAAATCAAACAAGTTATCGAATATGGACAGCAAAATGGCTGGGATGTTTTCAACTTGATCACATTTGGGAACGAAGCTATAAATTCACAATATGTTGACGTTGACTCCATGATGCAAAAATTGGACTCCGTCAGAACGCAATTCAGAAATGCTGGATATAATGGCTACGTCACCACTGCTGAGCCACCAGCCACTTTTATCAACTACCCCAAATTGTGTACCGACACCAGTATGGATATCGTTGCCATCAACCCACACTCTTACTTCAATGAGAATGTCAGCCCATCAAATGCTGGAAACTACGTCACTACTCAACAATCACAAGTTGCTAATCTTTGCAAGGGGAAAAAAGTTTGGATTACTGAAACGGGGTATCCATCACAAGGTCAGACTTTAGGATTGAATGTGCCATCGCCTGAAAATCAGGAAATTGCAATCAAGTCGATCTTGAGTTCAACTGGGGGTGAAGTGACCATCTTGACCACATACAATGATTTCTGGAAAGATCCTGGTCCACATGGTATTGAGCAATATTTCGGTGCCATCAACTTGTTCAGCTAAAGGTAAAAGGGGAGCAGCTGAACTCAAGTTGAAACTCAATCGCTTATTCTATTCTGCATTTCTATTAGATATTTCACTTCATTTCGGGACTTAAAAAAAGGGTTTCTCAACCTTTGATTCGTGTATTGTACTTTCTAAATAAAATAGTAAAAAGCTCAATTTTCATCAAGAGAGCCAAAGAAAAAAAAAAAAAAAAAGAAAAAAAGGGTGTAGGTTTCAAAAATCAATCACTTTATCAGGGAAAAACTCATCAATCAAATCAAGATAATACGGCTTCAACTTGTCCACATCACACTCTTGCTCAATCTTTGAATATAGATCATATTGGTTAAACGCCTTGACCGCCTTCAACATCTCCTTATCATGATCGTTCATGAGATAAGTGTACGCCATCTCTTGATGCCAAGGATAAAATGAATGGTACCGAATCATAGCCAAACCTTCCTTGGGCAATTTTGAATACTTCTTTGCAATGTGAAACATGTACTCATCGTGACCCCAGCTCAACATTACTTTATCCAACCCACAATGTTTCGAATAGATGCCGTATTTCGTATTGTATAATGGATTGAGGAAATCCGGGTTGGCTTTAAAACTATCTGGGAAAATGATTCGTTTGGAGAATTTACACCCCACAGGGAAAGTATCACCAACCACATCCCATTGTCCGTGTGAATCGTAGAAATAGAGCAATTTGCCCAAATCATGAATTAGACCAACTAGTTGAAACCAACGTGGTCTGCCATCTCTTCGAATAGCTTCTGCCGTCTGCAAAGCATGCAGGATCTGTGAGAGTTCAGTGTCGGGATCGCTTTCATCCAACAACTTGTTCAATTTCTCCAATGCCTGCCAAACTGTCATTTTTTGGTCACGAGTCTTTGTTTTGAAGTTGATTCGAGCTTGGATATTGTAAGCCACAGTTTGCTTCGCGTGTTGCTCTTCGTAGAAAGATTTGACTCTGTCGCAAGCTAGCTCGTATTGGCGGAATGCTTTGGTATCGATGTTTTTGTAGTACTCGGTGGCGATGTGCCAGTTTTCGTCAGCTAGTTGCTCCGATTTTTCTTGAAGAGACATCTCTTCTTCAATCGTTGGTGTAATCGTAGACTGAGTCGGCTGCTGCTGTGGAAGTTGCTGCTGTAGAGATGCCACAGATTCACCTGTTGGTTCTCTTGTTTCTGCCGCTTTAGCTGCCTGGGTTTTGAGATTGTTCCGTAGGACATTGACATGGAGCACCTCATCGTCTATTTGTTCCAAAAGCTGGCCCTCACGTTTCTCTGGTATTAGCTTTGAGCGTTTCTGGTTGGAAACGCTAGAGGATGTGGCTTTAGATATTCGTGACATGTCGCAAGCTAAGGAAAGTACTTGCGCTGACAATGAATCTGATGGATCTACTAAAGAAATTCCATTTTTCATGTTTGTTCCCCTTTGAGGATGTTGCTTGGCACGTGACTTGAACGAGGAAATAACTACCATGATAGGTAGCAAAGCTCAGCATTTCTAAATCTACATTCAACTCCTTTAAAAAACCGAATAACTTTTTTTTCTTTGACTTACTTTTGATTATTACATAGTTACGTTTATAGATCCCTTAATCATACACTGTAACCTATTGGCTTGGCTACACTTACAATAAGGCAGCAATGAAAACAAGCGGAACTGAGAACCACATAGCTTTGTTTGAAGCGGCAGCACCTTCATAAGTTGAGATTTCTGGAGCAGCAACTGATGATGGGGCTTGTTGTGGTGCAACAGTTGAGGTCAAGTTGATAGTGGAGGTGATGGTCTCAGCTTCTGAACCAGATCCAACGGTAGTAACGGCGACGGATTCTTGAGCACTAGGAGCAGCTTTGGATGGGGCAGCAGTGGTTTGAGCTGGAGCGGAAGATGATTCAACTGGGGCAACTGGACCAGATGGTGATACTGCGTTGGTAGCTGGAGCAGATGATGCTGGTGCAGATGATGCTGGAGCTTGGGTTGATGGCAATGGGCAGTAAGTAGTGTAGACGGTATCAACTTCACTGATGGTCAAAACACCAGTGGTAACTGGAACTGCACTGCATTTGTTTTCTGAACATGAAGTGATGGTAACAACGGTGGTTTGTATTTTAGTGGCAGTAGAAAGACCTGCATTGGCACCAGAGTTGGCGTTGTCATTGGCAGTGGTGGTGTTCTTGTAGCCTCCAGATGGTGAGACGCTGACACTAGTTGGGCCAGTAACGTCTTTGTCCTCGGAAGTGGTTGGAGGAGTAGCAATGATTGGTGATGAGGTGGAGGTGGAGGAGGTAGTTGGAGCAGCTGATGAAGATGAGGAGGATGAAGATGGAGCTGGACAGGTGTTGTCGTTCAATACTTGCTTAACTTGATCAGCAAAGTTGGCACCTGAAGCATCGGTGTTGAGCCAAGCACCTGAAGCATCCCAAAGAGAGACACCAGCAAAGTGTTCATCGCATTTGATTTGGTCAATAGTTCTAGCCAAGGTAGCAGCATCAACATAGCCGGCAACGTTACCGGTAGCTGGAACACCAACGTACAATTTCAAGTCTGGGTTTGGTGATGACGAAGCAAACTGGGACCAAGTAGGATAGTTGAAACTAGCATCAACTGCGCACGGGTTGTTATAAAATTGGATGAATGCAAAGTCCAATGGAACTTGTGACAACAAAGGACCGACATGGGCGTCAGGGTAGACACATTGTGGAGAAGCAGACAAGTAGTACTGCTTTGATGAATCAAACTTGGATTTCAAGGCATTGGCCAATTCTACGTAACCAGTTGAAGTACCCAATTCGATATCGAAATCGAAACCGTCAACAACAGCATCATCAAATGGTCTTTCTGAGTCTTGACCATTACCGAATTTGTTCCACAAAGTGTCAGCAAAAGCAGTAGCGTCGTTGGTGTTTGAAAAGCCATAGTTTCCAGCAGCACCACCAAGTGACAACAAAACTTTTTTACCTGAAGCTTGACAAGTTTTGATGTCTTCACCAATAGCAGAACAATGCAACAAGCCAGATGGGTAAGTGGCTCCACATTGGTTGGCAAAGTTGACATTAGTTGGATCTGGGAAATCGTTCAAGAAGGACAAGATAACAACATCAACGTTGGAATCAGCACAGTAGGTGCTCAATCTGTCTTGACCACCGGCACCATTTTGACCCCAGTAGACAGCGACACTGTTTGAAGCAGCTAAAGCCGATGCAGAAGTAGCTAATAAAGCTAACAAGGTATTTGACAACATTTTAGGAAATATATAACCTCTTTGAAATTAGTTTTTTTTTTATTCAAAAAGAAAAGATGTAAAGAATGACTATAAGTTGGATGCACTAATGGGTGAGGGTATCCAAATTATCTGATATGAAGGAATGGTGTAGATACACGTGTAGTGTGATGTCGTATAAACGAAAGACTAAAGGTTGGTTGAAAGGTGAACAGAAAGTGAAATTCTATATTTTCAATGCTTTTCTTGAAAAGAAGATGGTTGATATTCTTTGAGAATATATAAGTCATATATATATATATATATGGGAGAGAATAATTTTTAATGGGGCGGTTTTACTTTCTTTTTTGCATTTAAGTAACAAACGCCAAACATCTCTTCCAAACTACAAAAAACAATGTACAGTCTAAACTTTACAGTGGCGAGCGGAATTGTTGGCAACTTATTGTAAGTTTTTAGACACTGTGCATGGGGAGCCCAGCCTACGCAGTTAATTGTTAGGGTGGTTGTGTTTCTTACGACTGTTTTGTTTATTAGGGTTACGTTACTCCTCCTTAAAAGGTTTTGAAGATTTGTGTAATGTATGAAAAATATATTATTTCCATTGTTCAATAGAAAACAATATCACCAACATTTAATATCAATTGTTTTCGACTCTCTCTCGTATAAGTGACAAAAGCCACCATTTACTACTTTGTATTTCATCTCTACACTTCAGTACTTGGTCATCCTTTGTTGGAATTTGAGCCTGCTCTGTTGATATGGCAACAGATATCAGACTAAGAAGCTACTTCTTATTGGGAAAAGATAAAGGACTAAACACTGCTTGGTTATGCTATTGCAGTTGCAGGATTTTTGGCATGACACACCTCGCTAACAACCCTCAAGTTGTTGAAGATTTGAAATAGCGTGATTTTGTGTCAATTAGTCTATATTTCTATTGTTTACTATTACTTTTGTGTTTAAGTTTACGTAATCAATAGTATGTGTGTATGGATGTACATTTGAAACAAAGACGCGAAGAAAAAATAAAGAAAAAGAAGAAAAAGTGTGTTTTGTATCAACATGTCTTTGACTTTTATGTGTGTCTACTATTTTGGACCAAATCATTACAATAGGGAAGAGGAGAGAGATGTCTCACAAGCCTTCTGATTGGTTGGTCTCAATCGCCTGACTTTGATTAGTTTGTGCTTTTCAGAAGAGACTGTCGATTAATAGATCTACGAACCCATAATTTCTCTTGTCGCATTTTATTCTTGTGTGTGCTAGGTAACGTGGAGGGAGGTGTATCTCACATACTTGTTGACTTCCACACGTAAAAATAATGGCAACAGGACCTTGTCGTAAGATCCATCTGACAGCGTCGTTTCTCCCCACAGGACAAGAAAAAACAAAAAAATGAAAGAAAAGGAAAAATTTCCTCCATCGTAAAATAGACGAAAATTAAACAAAACAAACACAACCAAAATACAATACAACACACTACAGTACAAACACAAATACAAATACAAATACAAATACAAATACAAACAACTCATTTCAATAATATTATGTGATACAAACACAATCATATTTTAGACAGCTAAATGAAGCTGTTCTACATAAAAGTGACAACCTTTCGAAATAGGAAAGAAAATAACCAAACAGAGAAATCCATGTAATACAATATGCACCAACTCTGCACGATAAACATAATCAACACTTCACAAGAGAAACAAAAAAAAAAAAAACAAATAAGCACGAAATTGACAGGCGCAAGATCCGCGCAAAAATAAAGATCTCAATCTAATGTCTAGGCATAAATGAGGCCTGACTTTTCCCAAGTAGTATTCGTGAAGCATGATATCCAGCTAGGCTCTTGTGTGTTTCAAGTCGACTGGCTTATACCCTAAACCAGTGTCCAGCAAAGTTATTTAGCATCTTCATTCAGGAAGTTTATGCGTTAACGGCTAAAACTTCCACTTAAGGTGAAATGTCACACGAAGTAAATCGAGAACGCGGAGTTAACACCAGCAAGACAAATGCCAAGCAAAAAAAAAGAAAACAGTGAAAATTGCAAAAGACACAATACAGTATTACATCTATAACTTTCTCTTGCTATACCCTATTCTCCAACTTGAATCGTCTTGGTTTCTGTCCACTACTTTGTACAACTAACCCACCAGTTTGCTTGTTTGTTTGCTTGTTTGCTGTGCAGTCCCATTTGAAGATGTCATTGAAAACTTCCACTCCCTCTTCGTATTGTGTCCGTAAAGTGCAGTCGTGACTCCTCATTAAACAATATCAGTAGCTTCTTTAAGTCACTCGCTAATTGGTGAAATCTATCTCTGAATTGTGAATTACTTAAGGTGGGGAAAGGTTTCAGTAGAGATTTCTTCCCTGGATGAATTTTGTTCACTGGATAATGGCATTTCATTTGAAGCAGAGGTTTCAGTACAAAGTGGGATCTCGTCTGCTTCTTATAGTCCCATAGATGAAATCAACTCACGTGGTAAATGATTTGCAGACATACAAAGAAATCCCTCTATCGGGGTGGGAGAGGGGATAACGAGCAGAAGAGCAGCCCATGGAAAAGTCGCAGAAACAATGCAAACCAGATCACAACATGTCGGTACATTCCTTGTCAAAGTTTCGCAATCTGTAAATAAGCATGTACTCAAATTTGTTGTCAGAAGTAGGATTTGTACGACCGCGCGTGCACTAAAACTGTGGCTTGAAAATCATACGGCACCAGAACTAGTGAAGAATCAACAAGATCGAGTAGGTTCAACATCACTCCCACCACCACCTCACACTACGCATATATATATATCCTACATTAAACAGACTCTGCTCCCCCGAAAATAAAAAAAAAAAAGAAAAAAAGAAAGAAAAATGGACTACGTTACCCATCTTCCCAAAGAGGACCCCTCCGTTGCCACCACATCAATTTACAATTTAAAATACACGTACCCAGTCAAATACTACGATTTCCACATTTACTACTTCGCCCACAATGAAAAGTCAACAAGTGAGTCAGATGCATTACGCGCAAAGCTACTCGCTGATTTTCCAAAAGACACTGCCAATGGGTCCATCTTGGTTAAGAAATTACCCAATGACAAAATCATTGGACCGCATCCTACACAATTTTGGGAAGCTGATGTCTTGAGACCTGAAGTGTTTGTTCAAGTCTTGAGTTGGTTTCAATTGAATCATGGCAACTTGCTGGTGTTGATCCATCCTCAGACTGGTGATGATTTGAAAGATCATTTTGATCATGCGTTGTGGTTGGGCGATAAATTGCCCTTGTTTGATGTGTTTGGCCCCGTGAAAGGCGAAATCCCTGAGTTTGGTGTCAAGGGCGGCAAACGAATCAAGGTGGATGATTTTGATAGTCATAAAACTGTCTTGTAAGAAGGTGTGGGTGAGGCTGAGGCTGAGGGGTGATGACTGGGAAGAGAGGTTCTGCTTTATTGACTCTGAAAGTGATGTGGTAGGCGGAAATCACGCAGCCGGTCGCATCTGCTTATAGTTCTATATAACTTGCATATACGAGATGAATTCTTCTCTTACGAGTCCGACCAATATTGCAGACACAATTGGTTCATTGGTTCATTGGCTCGGCCCTGTAAGCGCATATTTCGTCAAGGCGGCAGAAAAATTTTTAAAACAAAAAACAAAAAAAAAAAAAAATAAAAAATGTAAAACAAAGTTCGTCTCAAAAACCATCTAAGACATTAAGCAAAACGGCACCAAATACCGAGAGATGAGAAATTTGTAAAGTTGTATAACTTTTCTTCCATTCATTCTTGAGTATTTCTTCACATCCAGTTTAAACAAAGCAGTCCACCCACTACAAATGGCACAATTATCATCTCAAGGTAACAATGCCATTATTTACCTCACATACATTTTCATGTTGGCAACGGGGTTGTTCCTTGCTTGGAAATATGCCTCGAAAACAGATTTCCTTGCTTCGAATGGGACACAACGAGGACTTCCGTTGGCATTAAACTTTATTGCTTCAGGTATGTGAAAATAAAAAAAATAAAAGAGTTAGTAAACCAGAGAAAGTTGACAAGATGAAACGTTTTAAAAAGTTAAGGATCAGGAAAATGAAAAATTTCACCGTTGCGTATTTTGTATGATGTTCGGCACTAGACTGCATGGAATTGGGAAAAACTATGAGCGGGTATCTTCAGTAACTGAAGATTGAGAGTAAATACCGTTCGAACTCGATCAAGTTTACACTTGCGTGAGGATCTTAGTTTCTCCTTTCTCATGGAATGGCGTGGGGCATAGGGAATCAGGGCGTACGTGTGTGCTAGCTCTATTCTTTCAGAGCGACTCCTGTACGTCCTTCACCCCCCTTCCCCCCCTTCCATTCCAGGTTCATCTTTTTACAATACTAACTTAAATATTTTCTTATTTTTTTCTAGCTATGGGAGTTGGTATCATTGCTACATATGCTGAAATTGCAAACATTTCAGGATTACATGGATTACTCGTGTACACACTTTGTGGAGCATTGCCCATCATTGGATTCGCCATATTTGGTCCCATCATCAGAAAGAAATGTCCTGATGGTTTCATCTTGACCGAATGGGTTAGACATAGGTTTGGTGTCGTCACAGCATTATATTTATCGTTCTTCACCTGTTTGACAATGTTTTTATTCATGATTGGTGAGTTGTCGGCGATAAGAAGTGCTATTGAAGCGTTGACCGGGTTGAATGGGTTGGGGGCTGTCATTGTTGAATGTGCAGTCACTACCATCTACACATTTTTCGGTGGATTTAGAGTCAGTTTCATCACTGATAACTTCCAAGGTGTTTGTGTGTTGATCTTGGTCATTATATGCGCATGTGGAATGGGATCCTATATCGAGATTGATACGTCAAAAGTTGGTCCTTCGGGGTTGTTAAAGGCAAACAAGTTGGGCTGGCAATTGGTTTATATTTTGTTTGTGGCTATCGTGACGAATGATTGTTTTATGGCGGGATTTTGGTTGAGGACGTTTGCCAGCAAGACAAACAAGGACTTGTGGATTGGATGTTCTATTGCTTCTATTGTCACTTTTGTCATAACTTCATTGGTGGGAACCACAGGGTTCCTTGCTGTTTGGTCGGGCGATTTGCAAGTGGGTGACGACAATGGATACAATGCGTTTTTCATCTTGTTATCCCACATGCCGCGTTGGTTAGTTGCGTTTGTCTTGATCTTTTGCATCGTGTTGTCCACTTGTACTTTTGATTCATTGCAATCGGCATTTGTTTCAACCATTTCCAACGATGTGTTTAGAAACAAGATCCATACTAACTGGTCACGTCTTATGGTTGTTATTATGATTTTCCCAATTGTCGTTTTGGCAGTTAAAGTCGCTGATAACATTTTGCAAATCTACTTGATTGCGGATTTGGTCAGTGCCGCTGTGATTCCTGCAGTATTCCTTGGGTTGAGTAACACTTACTTCTGGTGGATGAGGGGATTTGACGTGATGTGTGGAGGATTGGGTGCTTTACTTGGGGTGTTTGTGTTTGGAACAGTTTACTACAATAGTGCCAAGGAAGGTGGGAAATTGTTATTGATATGGAATGGAATTTACGACCCTGAGGATTGGGGTGCTTTTGGTGCTTTTGTGATTGCTCCAGTTGGTGGGATCATTTTTGCTTGGATCGCAGCTGCCGTAAGAATTGGTGCAACGTATGCTTACTCAAAGATACGGGGTACGCCATTTACTACATTGGACAGACCAGAAGGAGAGCCAATTTACGTTGACAACCAAGCTACATACGGTGCTGACGAGAATGTTGAACAAACGAGTGTAGATAAGAAAAGTGTATAGACTATAGTACCTTATCTATTTAGTTCAGATATAATAATGTCTTATCTTTCAAGATCTGCGCATGCACGTTCTCAGTTCGATTCCAAAAGAAAAAAAAAAACAAAAAAATATGCATATATAAAATAAATATGTTGCCAAAAAAGAAAGACCCTGTAGACCAAAATATCGTCCATTCTTCCGACTATTCAATGCTTGCAACTGATACTCCATTTGCCAAGAGGCTAACACAATGTGCATGCGCCATTTTGTGGTGCTTATTATGTGGTGGCCCAATCTTTGGGTTTGCAGCCTTGAAGCCAATCTTGATCAAAGAGCACGTGTATGAATCATTATGCGACCTCCACCCAGAAACTGCTACTACGCCCTCCTTGATCCATGCAGCTGCAAATGACGTGGTTGCAAAATGTACACCGCAAGACTTGAAATTGAACAAGATGTTCACCATTGCTGCAGTTGTCACCAATGTGTCGGCATTGCTTATCGGACATGTGTTGGATAACTTTGGACCAAAAGTATGTGGGTTGATAGGAGCTGGTTTCTTATACTTGGCCAGTTTTATCTTCATTTATGCCAAGCAGATGCAATTGTCAACAATGTGGTCATCTTGGTTCGACCCATACGTGATGGGGTACAGTTTTTTGGCTTTGGGTGGTCCATTCACATTTATCTCATCGTTCCAACTCTCAAACTCATTTCCGGAACGGAGTGGAACAATATTGGCAATGTTGACAGGTGCTTTTGATGCGTCAAGTGCGGTATTCTTGCTTTACCTGATCGTGTACACCAAATCACATGGAGAGTTTACTTTGGATACTTTTTTCCGAGTGTATTTACTTGTGCCGATTTTTATTACTATTGCTCAGTTGACGGTGATGCCTAGTGAATCCTATCAGACGAGTACTGAATTTGTCAAGTTGGTTGATGGTAGTCCAGAGAGGGAAAGAAGCGGTAATGCTAATCCAGTTGTTACTGAAGAGTCTGCGTTGTTGTCGAGTGAATCGCAACCGCCCAGAAGAGACTCGATTGGTGATGCTTTGAAACACCCTTATGAAGAAGAAGAATACTTGATCAAGCACAGGAGTGACCCAGTTGTGGGAATCCTTCATGGATATTCAGCCCAATATCAAATCAAAACCTGCTGGTTCTTGTTAATCTGTTTATTCAGCACGATTCAAATGTTGAAAATCAATTACTTTGTTGCTACGATTGCCAGTCAATACCAGTACATTTTCAAATCGTATGAGCTTGCAGCTAAGCTCAACAAGTTTTTTGACGTTGCATTGCCACTAGGCGGTATTATTAGTGTGCCGCTCATTGGAATATTACTTGACAATTACTCCTCGTTGTTTGTTGTATCCACACTTTTGACCATTTCGCTCCTTATTGGAATCCTTGGTTTTTTTTCAAACTACGCATTGGCAGTTGTTGGCGTATGTTTATTTGTGGGATACAGACCAATGTTTTACACCGTTATCTCAGATTTGTGTGCCAAAGTATACGGCTTTGAGACATTTGGCACGGTTTACGGGTCTATAATGACCATAAGTGGTGTTTTCAACTATGGACAGAGCTATTTAGACGAATTGACGCATACTGTGTTTGACATGGATCCAATGCCTGTCAATTTAGTGTTGCTTTTGGCCACGCTTGTTGTTGGTGGGTTCACTGTGGGGTATGTCTATGTTGAGGGTAACAGAAGGATTAAAAAGAACATTGAAGCCCTTCAAAGAGCATAGACGTTTATAGATATATAGAAACATAGTTGATGGATTCTTTTTGAGCTTACTTTGTTGTCACTGTGTTGTACCTCGGTATTACTTTTGCAAATGAGAGAGAGAGAGAAAGAGAGATCTATCTGTTGGGTGATTATGTAATGTATTATGTAAAATCTCGATAAAAAAGAAATTTACGAATGGAAGATGCGAAAAAAAAAAATAGAAGAAAATTGGTTTCAATGCGGCATGTACCACAGTAGTAGTTAAGTCGTAAACTTACACCAAGAAAAATTTAGTTGTATGTTTACATATGTAAGGGGTAAATATATTATACGTTGCCATAAACAAACTTTATTCACCTTTGAAGGACCCTTTCTATTCACCAGATATCTATCTCGATCAGATCTCACACTTGTAACCTACTTGTTGGGGTTTTTTTTTTTTTTACTTTGTTTTTTTGCCCACACTGCTACACACATCTTTGATGGGCATGGGTATACCATGAGGGCACATATTATTACTTCATTACGAGGGAGACGCCACGCTTATCATCAATCGACTTATAATCTGCCCGTATCCACTTTGCTGCTACTACTACTACTACTACTAGTACTATCTTGTCCAGCTGTGGTACACGCCTCCACTGGAGATCAACTCCCCGCTTTTCAAGATTGCTTGGCAACGTGTCAATGCGAAACTTTACCCTCACAATACACTGTAGTTGGCTGGTCGTGCATGTCAAATTGTAATTACTACTGCCAACAAACCATCACCAATGAGAGGGAGAGGTTGAATTTGCCGGTGGTTCAATTTTACGGCAAATGGCCATTCAGGACTGTGTTTGGAGTACAAGAGTTTTGGTCAACTGTGTTCAGTTTGGGTAACTTGTATGTTAATTTCAAAAGTTTCAAGGTTATTTATCGTGAGTTGAAGAAGTTGTCAACAAGCAAGAAACATCAGGGTGAAGTGCCCACTGTTGTTGTCGAATCGCGGATATTGTATTGGCAAAGCATCTTGTTGCTTACTATTTCATGCATTGGATGGTGTTTTAGTTCTATTTTCCATTTCCGCGATACTGCATCCACTGAAGTGCTAGATTACTTTGGTGCATTTGCCATCATACTATGCAATTTGAACATTATAGTTGTGCGATTTTTCAAATTGTACAAGCTACAATATCAACTTCGCTTAGCATTGTGGCAATTGAGTCTCGTTGTGATCTATGCATACCATATTGTTCGATTATTTATTGATTGGGATTATTCGTACAATATGAATATCAATGTCGTTGCTGGGTTATCGGCCATGGTGTTGTGGTTTCTTCATTCGTTCAATGTGGGGCGGATATATAATAAAAACATCAATTTGGTGCAAAACACAATCACTTTGGTGCCTTATGAAACGAGCATCTTGAAGAAGTTGTTGCATCTACGAGAAGATTTCAATTATGGAAACACTACACGGTCAAAAAAGTTGAGTTTGATGGTGGCTAATTTGTCTCGATGGATTGCATATATTCCTGTGTTTAATAATTTGGTTCTATTATGTGGGTTGTACTTGGAAATCAATGATTTTGCGCCATGGTTTAGGTTGGTGGATGCTCATAGTTTATGGCATTTGTTGACCATTTTCCCTAGTTATATCTGGTTTGATTGGAACGTGTGGGATGTGGAAATGTCGAAAGTGACAGGGACTTTATAGATTTAGAGATTGGACTGGGAAGTTACAATTTGTATTTATTTATTTAATGTATCTATTATTTATCAAACGAATGTGTGTATAAAGTTAACCAAAAAAGAATGAAAATGAAAGGAATGAAGGACCGAAAGAAGAATAAAACGTGTATAGACTGTGGTTTGTTATACCAAATTGGTTGCTGATCTTGCTTTTTCTCTTAATTTCTCAATACTTCTTCTCCTTCTCAACCAAGTGGCAAAGAAGTTATACAAGAGCATTAAAACTGATGATATAACAATCAACCTTAGAAAATTATCCATCGATAAGGCATTGTCTGTATCAAACGTTACAACTCTTTGGATAACTGATATTATTGACTCTGAGTGTATACTATCAGGCGTTGATGCTGATGCTGTGGAAGAGTGTGATGTTGCGGATGAGTCGTAAAATTGATGTTCCTTGATCAAGTGGGGGTCAGAAGTAGGATTAGGGATCATATTGTAGCTGTATTAATGTGTGTGTGTGTAGATGCAAGGAACAATGGATTATTATGTTGAGAAAGATGTGAGCACGTGCAGATATTAAAACGTGGTTCAAATGTGTGTTTATTGACGCAGCTGTAAAAGAAGCAGAAGCGTATTGAGATAGTGCGGTGAAGTAGAATGAAGTAGAAAGTAAAAGGGTCTTTTGTAAAGAAAGAACTAAGGTTTGAATAGGGGATATTAAGTTGAGTTATATATCGATATATCTCTGTAATTCATCAAGGGATTTGAAGTGAGTGAAAGTAAATGAAAGACAAGAAGAAGAAGAAGAAGAAAAAAAAAATAAAATAAAATCTTCTGTATCCATCTCCATCTTTGTGTAACTTAACACAACCAGAATACAATATGTGGTTCTTAATTGCAGATATGAACAGAACAACACTTAACTACAGAAAGAAAAGACAAACAGAACAAAATTGAAACTTTGTCTTCATTTCACTGGCGATAAGTGTTCCCACTCTAAACCTTTGAGAAAGTAGTCACTCCATTCACTCAAGAAGGATAGCAGTAGAAATAATATATCATACCAATAACATTTACTGATGTTATTAGTTATACTATTTCGGGATTGTTTGTTTACGTTTTTTTTCTTTGCAATCTCAATTGCTATATTAACATACAATAGAGTTTATTTTTGTGTGCTTTTGTGTCTGTGTACACACTTTTTTCTTTTCTCCTTAAAATGCCACTTTATATGGCACGTGATACTATTGTATTTTTATATTTTTCTTCTGAACTGTGTGTGTGAAATTTCACTCATAACCAATTGTTAGCAGAGAATCAAAACAAAAAAAAAAAAAAGAACAACAGTCTGAATGTGATGATCTCGCAGTTTCATGTCTGACTCTGTTTCACCTACCCGTAATTTCCCATCCGTATCTGTCTAGTCTAATGTTTCAATTATTTGGTTGTTTTTTTTTTTCCTTTTGTTTAGGCTCTGTAAAGTCGTAATTTGATCTGCGCACAACTCTATATCTCATCCATGTAATGCCAATTACGATGAAGAAAAAAAAAGAAACAAAAAAAAATAAAAAAATAAAAAAAAAAAAAGAAATTGTGTATCTTTTGCTTAGTCTCTGTAATTTATTCCACTGTCTTCCGAAGGAAAGGGGCACAAAAGTTAGGAGTGAAAATTAGAGCAGTCGAGATAGCGACATCTAGCACCAGAAAGGAACACACCAAGCTCTCCTCGTCGTGCTCACTCCATTTTGCTAATAACCATCACCTCAATTGTTAAGCAAGTGTGATTTGTAGTCCAACAACGGATGATGTTGTGTATTCTAATTATAGCAGCAGCACATATTTTTTTTTTCTTGGTTTTTGATTCTTTGTCTACCAAGAAATTGATAACGAGGGGGAGCAATTGCTCTCTGACATTGTACAAAAGAGTGGCATGTTCTACAGATGCAAGTGCGTATATATACATCCAAGTTGATCATGATCACACATCATTGGAGAAGGGGTGGAAAAGAAGCATAAATTCTAAGGTGCTCTATCAATATTCACTTTTCTTAGAATTTGGCTAAAAATACCCCGTAACAAAACCTAATTTATTGAATGGTCGTCTTCTTTCGGATACTACTGTTGATGGGCATAACTCTCAGCTCATTTACTGAAAAAAAAAAAAAATGAGAGCAGCGAAAGTGGCACTTATTTGGTTGCGATGGCAAGTTGGTGAGCTCGTTCTGTTCTCAATCGCGTTAGGTAATTACTATTCCCAAAATAGACAAATTGTAAATAATTCACTGATGTTTATATGCAGTACCACTGCATGTACCTGGCCCTTTAAACTATTCGGCTAGCCAGCCAGCCAGCCAGCCAAAGTTACCCACAAGCTTATTGCCAACACCACTAAACCTTAATCTCTCTATATTACGTCATATCTAATCTCTCTAAACAATCTATACAATAAATAGTCTCCGAATGGAAACTTGTAACCTCTGGAATTGAAAAATTTTCTCTGAATTGAAATATTGGGAATTTAATTACTTCCCCCTGAGCTTGCCAAAGAATGAGATTTTCTTCTTGGGCTTCCCCATAGAGCCGCTCTCGGCGCCATAGCTCGCACTGCTCTCATTACTTGGTGTCGCTTGTAAATTTATCGAATTGGTGCTAATCTCTGACAACGGCAGTAATTGACTAAACGAAGATAAATTATCATTTACCGACTCTGTTTCATCACTTGAGGAAGCCATTGTATCCATAGTCCACACTGACCCTTCACGATTGCCTGCGTGTGACATAACCGATGAGGATTGTGAAGCCACCAGGGCTTGTCTTGGTTGTTGTTGTTGTTGTTGTAATGATGTTTTCCTTGCAAATGGTGGGTTTGGTTGCTGTGTACTAAATTCGAATCCCAATTCTTGGTCATGTCTCTGAAGTTGTGGTGTAGATGGTGGTGTTGGTGGAAATGATGTCGGTGACACCTTCAGTAAATACGCTATGATCTTGCCCACAAACGTGAGGAATCGTGTCCAAATTGAAACCAAATGAGAATCCAACTGGTACAACTTCTTAACAGCTTCAAAATTGGTGATAATGGTAAGGATCAATTTATTATTCACTTCTATCCCCTTGAATCCCAGTTGGATCTGACATAATCGGCTGAAATGGCAATTGTTGAAATACAATTGGTATTGCTTAGCCAATCGGTCATACTCGGATGATTTCTTGATTTTCTCTAAACTGGGTTTGAGAATGTGCAAGTGGAGGAGTATGTAATCAATTAACTCAACATAGAATCGCATTGTAGATTGCAATGGCGGAAGTTTGTCATAAACATCACTCCCTTCAACCATGCTTTCAAATTTCAAGTCTTGATAACATGTATTCCAAAACTGGTCACTCTCTAGTAGTGAACGCATATTGTGGCTCTTGGAATGCTTGTTGTGGATTGTATCACTGCCAAGAGCAGCACCTCCACTTGCTACTTCTTCATCCTCTTGCACCGTAGATGATGTCGTCGCTGGACCAATTCTTGATACAGCACCATCAATGACTACTTTGCTCCCCTCGTATTCGAATCCTTCGAAATAACTGTACCGCAACAATTCCAAGTTTGTCAAATTTTGAACCACAGATCTATTCAATTGGAAATTCAACTCGTGACTAGCCATTGACGAAATTTTCGAAAGGCAATGAAAGTAAGCCAATTTTGAAGCGATATAGGGCGTCCTGTCAAGTGGTACATATCGGTCCAACACCTTGTCGTAAACCCATTTCTTACCTTCACGGCGTACAACATCAGGTAGTGGTGGCACTAGCAAGCCATTTTCACTAGACTTATCTGAGTGGGACAGTGAAAGCGTGCCGCCACTTGCTGTAGTTGATCTAGATGTAGTACGATTCAATCTGGACTGGTCTGAATTACCTCCATTCATTTTGCTCTTGAGTGCAACATTCCTCCTCTTCCTAATTCTTTCATCCTGTGCAAGTGCAATATATAAATATGCAGACATGGCGGAAGCAAAGTAATGCCAGTTTAAATCTCTATAGCTAAAATCTCCCTTATGTCATTCACTTTGTGGTACTTCCCATGTGTTGTTTCTCTTTTATGTAAAAGACCTTTACACGTGGGGGAGGGGGACAGGGCAGTAAACGGTGAAGGCTATAACTCTAAACAACCGAAACAAAGGATGTGTGGCATTATTTTCAGAAAACGTGGGTTCAAAATGAAGTGGAAAACGCCGTGAATAAATAATAGGAGCTAAAAACCCCTTAGTCGAACCACTATTAAGCGACGAAAATTTTTCAGTACTAACTGACAGTAACCTGCATTCACGGAATGGGGATTTTCACATTGTCTCTTTCAATGAAAACAATAAACAGTAGTTGGAGCTGAAGGGGAAGCTATCCTATGGAAGGAGGCGCCGAATGTCTCCCATTTCTGTGGCCGTAACTGTCGGAGGTAGCCTAGTTGCTATTGTATTGTTTTTGTTAAAGTCAAGCCTAAACCCTACTGGCTCGTTTGCCGGTCGTCTAAATTCTTTTAGCTGTCTTTGAAACAATAGAGTACCTCTTTTTTGAGGCAACAAATGCGTCGGTAATTTAACCGCTTTTGGTAAATATTGTTTGTTGCTGTTTTTTTTTTTTTTTTTGAAACGCAGGGTGTACTAAAAAGGAACCGGAGACAATAGTAATCATATACAAAAAAAAAAGTGTGTGTAAAACGGTAAGGAGAGATAATACACCATACATTTTGTAATTGCAACGTTGTACATAGGGATTTTGTGTCAGGTGTGTATTTGATCGTCAGAATTATATTCAATTTATTTTCTTTTGACGATGATGAAAAAATTTTCACATTGACAAAGGAGGCTTTGATTTGAATGGATTGATGTAATCCCATCGACTTCTTTTGAAAGGCACAGTAGAAGTTCCTCTTTGGACTCATATATTGTAAGCGGTATGAATTAAAGATATCTTTCTCTATATCTGTACAAAGAATTGACTAAGCATGGCGTAAAACTAGCACATGCAACTCTTATCAAACTGCGTACGGCACAAATTATCAATTACTGCAAGGTCCACAAGTGAAAGTATATGCATGGAATATGTATTCTTGTGTGCAGAACTAAAACTAAAGCCATTCCACCCTATAAGGCACAAAGCAAAATTATGTATGCTATTGTTTTACTAATAATCCAAATAGGGGGGAATACTATTCCAAAAGTAGGCTAAGTCCGCTTGTGCCAATGAGATTTGGAATTTGATAGCTCTCGCGTAAGTGCGGTAAATGAAACAGTCAAGGGTTTGTGCATGTATGTGGAATAGTGAAAGAACCGATCACTCAAGAAAGGTATCAATGCTCTGACTTAAAGCTGATAACTCCATCGAGCCTGAAGTCTTTGGGACGCCAAGGAGTACACTATACCAGATCAACAATTTGTGTCATGTCGTAGCATTCGTTTTAGTCGATTTGTACCTGAGTTGAGCACCTATAATGCTGAGGAGAGGTTGCTAGAGAGATCAAAAACTACACCACCAAGGGCTCCACGGTTACTTGTATAATAAACAAAAAACACACAGCAAATGCAAAAAATCAACACTGTCACAACTTGACAGCAAAATGATAGCATAACACACATACTCAACTCAGGCATTCATAACTTGACAAACCCGACAAGAAACTTCCAACGACAACTTTCTTCTTTTGACTTTGTGCCGAATTCATTGAGGAAAATTTAGTAGGTTGCACCGAACGCAGTCACGAAGGCATGCGTTAATACCAAAGTGTGATTTGGTACTGCGGTGTTTGTTAACTAAATCCCCTCTTGCAATTTCAAAACAACGACACTTTGCATGACAACAAAATATTCAAATGGCTGAAGTGGCCAGACATACATCCAAGCAGTCCATTCTCGTGCCACTTCATCATACAACTGATCAAACTTCAATCACGGCTTTGTGTTGTGTTCATTGAGGAAGAAATCGCGAGCACCACTGGAACGCAGTCTCAAAAAAGGCATGCGTTAATACCAAAGTAAGTGTGATTTGGTATCCCAGTTTTTCCCGACAAAAATTCCCATCTTGCATTATTGCTTGTCTCATCACAACATCAGAACCAATTCACAACCTGACTCAGTTATATTACTTGTTTGCCATTGTGTTTGCCATTGCCAAAAGTGTCTCAAGAAGAATTGGGTCGAGTGACTCTCTGATAGATTTTGGGACGCTCGTCCTCTTTCTTGAGTTCTGGAGCGTCCAATATGATGCATGACTTGCATCGTCTCAACCCTGTTGCTTCCTCAACCTCCACTGTAGGTTTTTTCAAGACCGACATTAATTTCGAATTCAGGTCCAAATCCAAGTTTGAAGTCAGGATCATACCGCTCTGTATCTTGTTTGATTTGCCCAATCTGAGCTTTCTCTTGCATTTTTGCCAAAACAAGTGCCTCTTCTTTGGCTTTGGCTTTGGCTCCGGTTTCGGCTCCCGCTTGATAATCTCCGCAGGCCGCCACATTGATATCAATCCCTTCTTGTCTATGATCTCACTGTCTGTTTCTTCTCTCGTGTGGATCTCGTTTGCAAACTTGACTTTTCTCTTTTTGAGCTCATGAGCTTCATCAACGACATATTCAGTGCCTGACTCTAAAAACTCAGGCGGTCCAACATTTGGCACAGGGGTGATCCTTACTCCATCTGGCACCATTCGGAATGGTTGCAATGTGGGATTAATATCTGAAAATATGTCACTAGCGTTGACGTAATAATGCCCATAATTTGGATTGATGTGCGAAACACCCAAGTACATAATGCAGTCTCTTGGATTCATATAGTATACTGTTTCCTCTGTGGGTGTAACAACTTCAGCAACTTCATTTTCAGTTGAATGTTCTTCATTGATGTGTGGATTCTCAAGTACATCAACAACAGCTTCATTGCCATTTGAACTTTCTTCGGAAGTATGGTCAACTTCTGCTACATCATTGGCCACCTCTGCTTCTTCTTTCTGGCGTGGTTCGTGATCATCTGGATCCAGGTATACTGAACTTGAACAGTCTTTATTCTCAATTTCTTCATCTCTGTCTGGACTGATCGGAGCTGCACCATTTCTCTCCTCACTGCAGCCAATGCTACTGTCTTTGCCTTTATTGCTGACGGTATTGGTGTTGTTGTTGTTGTTGTTGTTGTTGCTGTTGCATGTGGTGTTTATTAACTCTTGGAATGCTTTAATGGACAATTTCTCGTTTACGCGTTGATTTGGCTGTTGCGTCAACCAAGCAGGACACTCGCCAAATGTCATGTGTTGCACAGATGGACACTCATCTTCCATCAAGACGTTCACAGTGTACCAAGGATCCAAGTTTTGACGCAATTCAGTATTACTTTCCATGTTGATTGACAAGTCCAAAGCCAATTCACATCCTTCAAAATCATCCTCACTCACTTGGTCCTTGGCTTCAAGTTCACGTGGACTCAACTCATCAATCTCTGTTCTCAAGTTTCTGTTCTCAAATGGTTCAGCTTTTGAGATTGATGGAAATTGTGGTGATGGTGGTGAAACTTCAGATAATTTCTCGACAATGCCAAATTTGGCAACTGCTTCCTGCACTTCAGTATTGATTGGTGGTGATGATCTTGGAGGCTCAACTGTATTCAAGTCTACAGCTGATGGGTTTTCTCTATCTGCTGATGGTAATGATGCTCCAGTTTCAACTTGACTGACAAATGGCTTTTCCAGTTCAGTTTGGGTTGGTGATGGTGACGATGATGGCGATGGTAATGTAGCTGGAGTGTCACATTGAATGACAGGTTGTTGATTTTCCTCAGGTGGGGTGAAGTATGCTGGCGAGCTGAGGATGAAACCAGCTGATGGATCAAAGCCTGGAATCACTTTGGTGACATCGATGTTTTTGAAGTCGACAAGTTGATACAACTCGTCAGGAGTGATGTAATTAACTTTAATAGATTGCATTATCGTATTCTGTACTGAGAAGGGGTGAGGAGAAGATGGTTTATTGTAGAAAGAAGAAGAGGGAATGTACAATTGCTAACTTTTTTTGGTGCATTTTTTGGGGCATATTTAGTGAATTTGAGAATATCAAACTTTTTGCAACTGTAGAGAGATCATGCAAAAAGTAATCTAAGCTAAAGTTTAAGTAAAAGCTAGAGACTATTGAGCAATGAGGATACAGTAGTATCTGTAGATACAGCTAGAACAACCTCGTATGTGGAAACCTTAACCTGCGTATACCGTTATTAGCAAATAGCTCAGTTGTGTTGAGTACTTGTGTAAATCCACTGTATACTGTGGTAGAATTGTGCGTGCACAAGGGAGAAAAAAACAGTAAAGAGAGGATTTGCAACCGAACAAAAGTTGAGCAACACACGCAAAAACTTACCATTGATAGTGCCAATACTTTTGTGTGTGCGTGTTGATAGTGAATAGTATAAAATGGTATATTCTTTTTAAAGCCTGTAGTTATGGGGATTTTTGTGGTGCTTGTTTACTGTTTGCTAATATTAAGAGAGGTTTCAATCTAAATTTGAACAAAGCGAATTAAGTACACAAGTAAATGAGAACGACTAATTTCCACTCATTCAATCGAACCTTGTGTGTCTAGAACGACCAAGCATTGACTCGTGACTGTGATCTGTTTCTAATATCGTGTTTTTCATGTTTCGGTTACCTTATTTCTAAAAGTTCCAATCGATCACATCTTTGACAACAAATTTTCCAATAGTTCTATACCTTGCCATGATTTAGCAACCAAAAAATTTTCATCAATCAACCACTTATGCATTTGAACATTTCCATTATAAGGAGTTGAGAGAACTTTGTTCAAAGGTTGAAATCGTTTTGTTGCATTTCAGTCTAATCAATAGAAAAGTAACCCCAAAAAAAAAAAAAGTTGTAAAAAGTAAACTCCCTTGCGGGGAATCGAACCCCGATCTGCTCGGTGAAAGCGAACCGTGATAGCCATTACACTACAAAGGATGTGTCGAAAATTAGAAAAGCTCCCTTGCGGGGAATCGAACCCCGATCTGCTCGGTGAAAGCGAACCGTGATAGCCATTACACTACAAAGGATGTGTCGAAAATTAGAAAAGCTCCCTTGCGGGGAATCGAACCCCGATCTGCTCGGTGAAAGCGAACCGTGATAGCCATTACACTACAAAGGATGTGTCGAAAATTAGAAAAGCTCCCTTGCGGGGAATCGAACCCCGATCTGCTCGGTGAAAGCGAACCGTGATAGCCATTACACTACAAAGGATGTGTCGAAAATTAGAAAAGCTCCCTTGCGGGGAATCGAACCCCGATCTGCTCGGTGAAAGCGAACCGTGATAGCCATTACACTACAAAGGAAATTATAAACTTTCGATTTGTCTAGGTGCACTAATTGGCTTCAATTTTTCCAGTTTTTGAACTTCAATTTTGGTTCTGAAACCCTTATACGGCTCCATTGTTACATGAAAAAGAGTGGAGCGACATTATGAGGTACTCCATGAACTGCAAAGGCACATAGCTCTGATATTCGAGTCTAAATTTTAAAAGTGCAAGTAGTTATTGATACAAGATGTCAGAAATCTCAAGCTCTCGATAGGTGAAAAAAAAGCAAGCTAGCTTTTGAGATGATTGAGCTCATTCAAATTCAGTCGCCTCACACCTTCTAGGTACCCTCTTTCAATGCATCTAGTTGGAGAAGATAATCCCCCCTCCCAAGAATTAATGCTTCAACCAACAAAGATCTCATAACATCACATCAACTTTGTTCCCCTTCTATCCACAAAAGCATAAGGTCCTCTTTACTGAAACCTGCACTCCTCAATATCGCTTCTTCCTTTTGTTAATGGTTGCAAATAACTCCCCATCATAGTGTTGTCTCACTGCACACGACAAAACCTCCAAAACAGAAGAAAAAAAAAAATAAGAAAAAAAAAAATTCCAATCGATGAAAAACTTTTCAGAAAAGGATCAGTGGAACAAAGCCAAGTCATAGAACATCAACACACCGTGAAAATCAGGCCTATTTGCTGAATATGATAAGGCTTTCAATACGCAGGTTGCATAGCACGCCCAAAGACATCCCATACCAAGCCACCCCACAAGGTAAATTCAATCCCAAACGATCAGCATTTAATTTCAAACCCAAGCCAATAGACGGATTAGTACACAATCCACCTGCAGCTATACTAAAGCCATCAATGCAAACTCCATACATATTCCTTCCAGAAAATGACCCCAGGCGAGAACTTGCGAAACAATACCGACTTTCAGAAGATGTCGTTGCTGACATGCCTGTAATAAGGGCATTCAAAGCTCCGCATGAGAGAGAGTACACCGTGACAAAGGAAGTTGTTGATCATATTAAGCAATTGCGAAATGAAGACCCCGAACGTTGGAATTTGAAAGAGCTCAGTAAGAAGTTTGATATCGAGTTATCGAAACTCGTACATTTCCTTAAAAGCGATTTACAGAAACAAAGTAAGAACCAGGACGTCTCGGGTATGCCCAAGTATCTATTAGACAGAGAAAAGAGAAGACAGATGTGGATGAAGAATATATATTAGATGGAGGATGGGTTGCAATATTCGGTCCTAACATCACATTGTGGCGAGATGACGCTTTATCAAATGTACATAAACAGACAATACATAGTTTTGTAAATAATCCAAACGAATGTATAGAGAGAGAGAGAGAGAGAGAGAGAGAGCCACTGAGACGTTTGCTGTGTAGTTGCACCCCATATTCGTCTCTCTCTTTTTGCATGTCCCCAACTGCTACCAAAAAAGGTTCGAAAAGAAGAAGAAGAAGAAGAAAAAAAAAAGAGTTGTCTCCAACAAAGTTGAGAGAAAAGCTGTAAAGAAACATCAATTCCTCAACATGCCAGAGAACGTATGTGTGGTTTGAATTTATCTTGTGTGATTGTATTCAATACTAACGTAATTGCAGAGCGAAAGCAAGAGACAAAATCAGAGACAGAATAGGAGGAGAAATCAAAACAATGACAGGCCCAAATCTGAGGGTCCAAAGAGGGAAGCTATACTAGATTTAAACAAGTATAAAGACGAGGAGATTAGAGTGAGGTTCGTTGGTGGACGACAAGTAACAGGAATACTCAAGGGATACGACCAATTGATGAATTTGGTCTTGGAAGATGTCAAAGAGCAAGTCAGAGGTATGTAGAAGAGAAGCCATGAGTTCAAACAATCTTTATACTAACAATCTTCACTTTTAGATCCGGAAATTGAAGGAAGGTATCTTGATAAGACTAGGGAACTAGGATTGGTTGTTGTTAGATGTACAAGTCTTTTGACAATTTCACCTGTCAAAGGAAGTGAAATAATCGATAACCCATTCGTGTCGGAACAGTAGAAGATCGATGGTGTATAGTAACTGTATCGCAATTTAAACATCACTCTGTAACTTTATTCATGTACGACTTTGTTGTGCTCTTCGCAACACGAATCGTATTCACAAAATATTTTCTTTTTCTTTTTTTTTTCTTTCTTTCTTTTCCACTTCTCATCATCTCTTATCAGTAAATCCTCTACCAATAAGGCCAACCTCCCCTCCACCCCAAAAAAAAAGAAGTGAGATTCCCAGAGATGTCAGTTCCCAAGGAAGTTAATAAGAATGTAATTTTGCTCCCACAAACAAATCAGCTAATTGGACTTTACAGCATCATCCGTGACCAAAACACAAAGAGAGGGGACTTTGTATTTTACTCGGATCGTATCATTCGACTTTTGGTTGAAGAGGGATTGAACCAATTGCCAGTGGAGGAATGTACCATTGAATGCCACGGCGGTCATGAGTACAAAGGGGCCAGGTTTTTGGGCAAGATCTGTGGTGTATCTATTGTGAGAGCTGGTGAATCGATGGAGATGGGACTAAGAGATTGCTGTCGATCGGTGAGAATTGGAAAAATCTTGATCCAAAGAGATGAAGAAACTGCTTTGCCTAAATTATTTTATGAGAAATTACCAGAAGACATTAGTGAACGGTATGTGTTTTTACTAGACCCAATGTTGGCTACTGGGGGGTCAGCAATGATGGCTGTTGAAGTATTACTCGCGAGAGGAGTCAAGATGGAGAGAATATTCTTTTTGAACTTGTTGGCTGCCCCAGAGGGAATACAAGCGTTCCATGAGAAATATCCCGATGTAACAATCATAACCGGAGGAATCGATGAGAAACTTGATGATGACAAGTACATTGTTCCTGGGTTGGGTGATTTCGGTGATAGATATTATTGTATATAATACCACCACAACTATAAACATTTCTTATGTACAATATCTGGGTTATCTCGGTACTCTTCTAAAGTTACCCACATCTTCTTGAATGTAGACAAGCCTGCTAGTATGGAACCTCCAATCCACGTGGAATATTTTCTTTCGGGAGGAGCATATATTTTCACCTTCATCTTGGTGCTATAAGGTTCTTCAATTCTCGATTTGCTCCAAATGGAACTAGCTTCGTCGTCGTCGTTATGCTGCATACTTTTCAACTCCTTCAACAACCTGTCACCAAAGTTGGTCAACAACGTATTACCTCCAGATAACAAAAGATTCTGATATAAATGCGGCCTAAGGTCCAAATCCGTCTTGTTGATGGCCAATGCAACAAGTTCATGCAATCCAGGGCTCTCATCTCCTATAAGATGGGGATTGAAGAGAATCTCTGGCGCTCGAAATTTTTCAGCACCAAGGTGGATCTCGTGCCCATCGGGTAAAGTATAAGTTGTAAACAATTCATTCTTTGCTTTTGTTTTCCGAGCATATAAAGTGCCGTGAACTTTTTCATCCTTTTCTGGTTCCTTTGAAACAAAGCAACATTGCTCCTTTATTAATCGTACTATTTCCAACTCAGCACTGCTTTGTAAAGAAACTCCCGACGTTCGCCTTATATGAAATGACAAATTCGTTGTTATATCCCTTCCGGCAATATCCATGCGTTTGATCGAAGTCGGTAGAGCAAACCCTTCATAAACAGGTACAACATGACTAACACCATCACCACTATCAACAACAGCTCCTGTAGTTCTCCCCGATGCATAAAGCGCCAACACCGCTTGAATGGACACGTACATGCAGGGAACATTAAACTGCTCAAACATTACTTGACACATTACGTCCCTGTTGGATTTTGGGTTCAATGGAGCTTCGGTAAGAAGCAAAGGGTGATCTTCTGGTCGAATCTTTAGTTCCCGGTCGAACATATGGTACCAAACTCTTTCCATATCTGACCAATTCTTGACTATCCCGTGCTCCATAGGGTAAGTGAGTTTAAGTAGTCCTCTATTATTTTGAGCTGCATCGCCAATAAAAGTATCATCAGACGAATCCACTCCGGGAGAAGAGGGTAGCAAAGAGCCCGCCATGAACTTTCGATATTTTGGTCTGCCTATGACAGCTGATCCATACGTTCGTGGTTTATCATCTCCAGCAAATCCAGCTTTGAGATTTCCTGACCCATTGTCCACCACAATCGGCTGATTATACAAGATCTCCATTTCGTTGTGTACAGTTGGAAGGTTTGGTGTAAAGGAACGCGTTTTAAAAAAAATTGTAAACAAAAAGGGGGGATCAAAATTAGCCTTATTCAGCGAACCACACACACAGCTTTCCCACAAACACATACCCGATGCTGCATCTCAATGCCTTATCAAACCCGCAAAGACAACAGATAAGGAATGCTTTCACTTTGCTAGACGGTGAGTCCAAAGACTCTCTAATAACTAAAGACGATTTGAAAAAGATGTACACAAATCTCGGGATCAAACAGCCATCAGAGAAGGAGATTGAAAGCATGTTTACAATTGACAACGTGTCACACTCCGAGAAAGGAATATCATTTACGCAATTTCTGAATATCCTTGCAAAAGAACTTCTGTTGATTGATGATAGATCGTCGATATACGAAGCTTTGCAAGTGTTTCTGGCCAAGGGTGATCACAAATCGTTCAAAGACGAATTACAAATTGACCTTGAAGAGTTGAAAGATGCCTGCTGTTCAGTACGAATGAATGATGGAAACCGTCTATCCCGTTCCTCATTTGACGAATTAGTGAAGGGGTTTGTTCTGCAAACCGTAGACGGTAAGAAAGTGTTCCTAGCATCGAAGTGGATGTCTGCGTATATTGATTAAGCTTTGCTAGAGTGTGGCACACCATATCTCCTACATTTAAAGCCTAAGCCAAATTGTACAATGAATTTATTCATCCATATGTATTATTTTTATACATTAAATAGTGAACCCTTTCTATAACTCCGAAGCGAATGGCAAGACATCCAAATCACCAACAGCAACGTAGTTAAAGTCCTTAACGGGAGCATCAGCTGCAGTTGGTTTAAACTCTAATGGGTGTGCAACTTTCGACTGTAAAGCAATAGACAATTCTGCAGATTTAACGGCTTTGCTCAAATCACTTGAGGTGACTGATTCAGCAACTTTCTTGGCTTGTCTGATACCTTGAGCGACATCAGCAGCCTTACCTGAAACTGAAATCACAAACAATCCAGCGTCATTGTATTTGTACAAGTGTGAAGTGGCACCAGGAATCTTAAACAATGGAGCAACAGAGGTTGGTAAAGTGGAGGTACCAATAGCGGCTGACAATGTTTCGTATCTGGCGAAATCAGCTGGCTTAACTGGGAAACCAATCAAAGCAGTGGATTTTCCAGTAGCTGGTATTCTGGCTTCAGCATTCTTGTGGAATTCTGGTGTAGTGGCTTGTGCCTTGGATCCTTTGGGTAAGTAGCAGAATGCAGACTCTTCAACGAATTTGGTCAAGTCGGCTTCGTCAGCACCTTGTGCTACTATCTTGATGTTTTCTCCAGTGAAATTTTCTTGAGCAAATTGAGCCAATTCTTCAACTTGGATAGGAGTGGATTCGTTGTAGTATAATGGAGCACCCAATCCTCTTCTGAATGTGATTTCATGCAATTTTTCCAATCCAGTGAAATGTGAGTCTGAGTGTGCAGCCTTGGCTTCTGCGAGTGCGGATGGCAAAACAACTTCTTCAAATTCGTGAGGAGTGAATTGAGTATTTGAGAGTACATTTCCCAAAGCTTCAACGTAGTATGGCAAGTCCTTTCTCAAAAACTTTGTTTTCAAAACCAAAGCATCTCTTTTAACGTGACCTTTGAAGTGTCCACCCAACAATTCTGACTCTCTAGTGAAACGTAAAGCAGACTTGGCACCATTGTTCAAGAAAGCAAATTTTGACAACAAGTGTGATGTACCAAATTTACCGTCCTTGGCACCTGCATTGGTAACAACGACATGAAGTTTAGTCAAGCCATTGACAGACTCTTTTGTTGAGATTTTGACACCGTTTGGTACGGAACTGTAAGCACGAATGGAAGTACGGGACAACATCTATAGGGGTCGTAGAGGGCTGCTGATATTATTCACTCGAAACGTCGTTTATACTGGGATGAGTTATCGACCTTTAAAACAAGAGCTTTTACCACTTTTCACTTTTTTTCGTAGAGAGCAGAAAAATAAAAAAATTATAAATTCTCAGTCGTTGATTGGCACAAGAGGAAGTCATGTGACTAGGTATATCAGAGTAATCTACACACGATACTTCCATGGCCCACTTTTGTAAATGCAAGTCTCCGACATACATTTCTACTGTTATAACTGTGCCAAGTTGATTTTTTTAAGATTCTCCCCACTGATTCCATTTTCAACACCGTAGTCCACAATTAGTTTGGCCCATAACAAATCCATCATCACGAGAATGTGTACACCACCCCAGATCAAATTGATACTGTAAAAGAAGTTTGCGTTACCGGACCCCAAAACGATCCAGCAATAGTAAAATATAGGGGACAATATAAGAGTTGTCACCAAAGTTATCCCTGAAATGAATATCAATTTGCAGTAAGGTAGGACAGATCCTTTGAAAATCGGCAATATGGACAATGCAAATCCTAAATCTCCAACGGTTGGGTAAGATTTCGTAAATGAGATCCATAATAAAGACACTAGCACAGCCAAAAATGAGTCGCCCAACTTTGGTGTACTTTTTGATTCATATAAACGCATAGCAATTGGGATTATAAATGAAAAGGAGTACAAGTTGAACATTCCAAGGTAAAATGGTGTAAAAAATTCAAACATTTCAGTAAATAAATACCACCATAATCCGACATTGGGTGTTATCTTTTTGAAATATATCACGGTCAAGTAGCAGCTATCAATAAATCTCCAGGATGATGTGAATGCAACGGAAGCCAACACTAAGAGAGCTACTGATCCAAAATACACCGCCAAACTGACGCGTAAAATCTTTGCTGGCGAGATTGGAAGGCTTTTTAAACCTAGTCCTATTATTGACGGAAATAGATACAACGCATTGAATGATGAGTATGTTGCAACTGCAAACGCAATCATTGATCGAACAATGTTTTTCTTTAATGTGATTTGAACTAAGCTCTCAATAATAAAATACCACGTAAACACAACAGTGGAATGGCTCAAATTCGTCAATATGATCAATGGATTAAACAAGTAAAAACATGCAATCAAGTCATCATTGAAGCCCGTCACTTGTGTTCCATAAATCTTGCCGCGTGAATTATTGTACCATTGGTTAAGCTGAACAATCTTCCACGCAATGAGTAGATCGGTGACAGTGCAAACCAAATTGAACCATAAATACAGCACAGGTAACAAGCTGATCCAAGAGGCAGTCACAACAACCAATGGCGGGTGATGGTTCACACCCCCGTCGTACAAACCAATGCCATGATTGTAAAGGTATATAGCTTCGAGAAGGGACTTGAACGAGGATATAGGTGTACTCAATTCAACTGTTGACGAGAGGGAGGTCGTGATCGAGGGTATAAATGTGGGTAGTAGGAACCGTACTAATCCACCAACGATGAATACTTGGAGTAGTTTGCCCATAACTGCTTGTTTTACCGTGTCCTCTTTCAAAGTGTAGTGGAAGAGGAAAAAAAAAAAAAATTGGAATGATGGAAAATACCCATGAACAAAAACACGAAACGGGTCATCAGGGAACCACGTATTTACCAAATGTCAACAGTATGTACCTTAATACAATCCATCCAAATGACACGAAATGTTACTAACAGCATCTAGTTTCAACCAATAAATCCAAAGCCGTTTATGAAGTCACTAATAGGGAAGCAGGTGGTGGTTAGACTAAAATGGAACAAGACAGAATACAGAGGTCAATTGATATCGACAGATAATTACCTTAACTTGCAATTGAATGACACGTTTGAAATTATATACGACAGCGACGACAACCCGCGTGAAGAGGCCATAGGCAGTATATTCATAAGGTGCAATAATGTTTTGTTTATTAGAGAATACAAGGACCAAGACCCCAGCAAGAGCAAAATCTCGGACAAGACGGATTCTACCACTGTCACGGAGACTGTGGAGACAGAGACAGAGACCACTAATGGCGATGCAGGCAGCAGTGGGATCGAGGTCACTAAAGTAGAATTGAAGGAGACGGAAGAGATGGAGGAATGAGCGAGCAAGGAATAGAAAGACAGTCACATGAATGAGTATACATGTCTGCAGGATCTGTGATATAACTATATAGCATATGAATATAGATTGTTGATATCTGTAAGTGCTGTTTCCTGTTTGATCCTGCAAAGGGTTTCTTTATTCAGAAAAAAAAGAATAAAAATAAAAATAAAAAAAATAACCTCGCCCGATATTCTTCAACATCAAACAACTCGAGTCCATGACTGAACCAGAGGTAGCCCCATATGGGGGTTTTATAGTGAAAACCTTGGAGGATGAGAAGGCAAATGAAGCAAAGCTTGAGGAGTTGGCTATTGAAGTTGAATATCATGGCACCACCCAAACGTTGAGGCCCGAAGCTTTGAGATTGAATGGTGTGGACAATTTATCAACAGAGGAGATCAAGTCTTATGTCGACTATTATCTCAACTACACTACATCACATAGCGAGGAACTCGACAAAATAGAATACAATCAAATTCCGTTTAACGACCAAGTCACTTTTCGTGTTGAATGGATCAACGACTCCAACGTCAATATAGTTTTCAAAACAAATCTGGACAGTTTAAAAGGTTTGAGGCAATTGAGTAGCGACCCAATAGAGATTGACGAAAATGATCCAGCTTTCATAAACGAAGCTATACAAGAGCGTGCGGCCAAGGACTACAACCCTATAATACCATTTCGCAGCAGCCAGAGCTTGTCCAATCGGTTGGGGTTGAAAGAGAAATCAAAAGACGATACTCAAGAGGGGATGATGGAGGACGAATCCTCGATTGAGTTGCGAATCAGACAATCTTTTCAGCTGGATCGGAAAGTAAAGAATGCGTCACAGTACTCTCGCTACTATTTAGTTCATGGAGAACCCGAAAGGCCTCGTCGACCACGACCAACACACAGACATAAAAGAAGAAGAGACCCAGCTAAACCCAAAGAAGATGACGTTGAGGAAGATTTATTTGCTGACAAACTCAGGCAAGGACGATTAAACTCTCGTGAACGTGCAGTTGATGACGAAGAAGAGGATTTGTTTGCAGACAAGTTAAAACGGAGTAGATCACGATCTCCAACTCGGTCTGGCAGTAGCCGCTACAGTCAAAGGTGAGTGAAAAAATAGAAATTTTGCTTAGTATAAAATGTTTTTGTAATATACATAATATAGAATTGAAGAATCGTAGCATTGTAATCTCAATTACCCTCTTGACCAAAGTCCTCAGTAAATTTAACATGGTTGGCTATATCAGATTCATTAACTGTAGGTCTATTACTTTTGATGGACTTGATAAAGTCTTTTATCGTTAAAGACGGCTCCTTCAACTGGTCCGTTTCTATCTCCATCCAGCTCATCTCCTTTGCGTCGGCATCTCCAGGCGAGCATGGAGTCAACTTCTCCTTCCCATCGTCATCCAAAACAGGTTTGAAATGTGTAGCTTGTTGGATCTTTCTAATTGGCTGCATCAAAGCGTCTCTAACAACCACTGCAACATCATGCCCTGAATATCCATCAGTCATTTCTGCCAACGTTCTATAGTCATGAGGTGAGCATTCACAAGGAACTTCACCAATGTTGATTTCAAACATTCTTGATCTCGCCTCTACATCAGGTAATGGGATGTAAATTCTTCTCTCGAACCGTCTTCTTATAGCTGCATCTAATTGCCAGGGAATATTTGTGGCTCCCAACACCAACACTCCTTGTGAATCATTTCCAACACCATTCATTTGGACCAACAACTCTGTTTTGATCCTTCTAGAAGCTTCACTCTCACCTTCTCCCCTCGGTCCACATAAAGCGTCCACTTCATCAATGAATATGATCGATGGCTTGTTTTCTCTTGCCATGGTAAACAATTGCTTAACAAGTCTTTCCGACTCACCCATCCACTTTGAAACTAAATCAGAGGACGAAACACTAAAAAAGGTCGAGTTCGCCTCTGTTGCAACTGCCTTGGCCAAGTAGGACTTACCTGTACCGGGTGGACCATACAATAGAATACCAGATGTAGGTTTTCTATTTCCAACAAATAGTTGTGGGAATTTGACTGGTAAAATGACGGCCTCTTTCAATGCTTCCTTTGCTCCTTCAAGCCCAGCAATATCTGACCACTTGACATTTGGCTTTTCGGATAAGATTGCACCCGCAAGAGCCCCTCTTAGTTTTTTTGTATCACTATCGTCATCATCGTCACCACTACCAGACTTCTTTGCCTTGGTAGATCCATTGGCAGAGCTTTCAGCGGAGTTTGATTTGTTCTGTTGCTTTTCAAGATGGTCTTTCAACTGCTCTGCTCGGGTTAAATACTCCGTGAATTTAGATTTAACAAGCTCTTTCGACTTGGGGTTCTTTTCGTACTTGATGGCCAACATCAAGTAATCAAGACCGTTGTAGTATAGTTTGTACGCCTCTTCGTACTTTGTGGCAGTATCGGCATCTATTGCCTTTTGTACCAAGTCGATACCTTTGCTTAAGAAATCAGATGCTCCCGACATGACTGCTGAGGAAGAATGTGCTGTGGGTTTGTAATATAAAATGGCAAAGAGTCGTCTCGTTTGTATGTCAGCCCAGTAAAAATAAAAAAAAAAAAAGAATTCGTAGTTTTAATCTCCACTGTGGGAAAAGAATAACCAAACAGATCTTTAATTCAGAATCCACCGCCTCCTCCTTCTGAAATCACAATAATTTGATCCTCACTACGACATAATGGCAGGTAGAACTCACAAAGGATCTGCTTCTGAATCAGAAACACCATCGCGCCATCACAATCGAGACAGAGACAGAGACAGAGACAGGGATGGGCATCAAAACGTGACCACATCTTCCAGCAGAACATCACAAAAGGCTAGAAATCAGCAAGCTTTGCAACAACAACAATCCTTTTTACAAAAACATATAAACTCAAATGGACCGAAAGATAGACCTAGAATAGACCCGCTTGACTTTGAGAAAATGGACGAGGCAACTTTGCTTAGATACAAGGACCGTTACAATATCAATCTCCCACGACCTGAATCGTTGAACTCTGATATCTTGAATAGTGAGATTGGAAAGAAGACGTTTAGCAAAAGGAATCAATCCAGGCGGCTACAGAGGGCCGGATTGGGCACGGAGCATAGGATAAGTAAAGGTGAGTTTGCCAATCAAGTTAAAAACCATTTTATGGGGTTGCAGGCCAAAGAGAACGATATAATCACGGGGTTCTTGTATAAAGTAAAGCACCAGGATAAGGAGTTTAAACTTACATTCCAATGAGGTTACAGTGGTATTTAAATGAATTTGATGCTAGATAGAGTTAGTTCTGTATAATTGTGTATCACGGTGTTTGAAAAAAAAAAAGAAAAAGTTAACCCTCGAATCAACCACATATTCCCTTTTATTCTTTTTACAATGGATTCATCGGCTGTGTTTTTTGCATTGGCCTTAATCATAGGTTATATATTCCTCAGATGGACAATCCCTACAGTCCCAGAAACCAATGATTTCAACATAGACATGTCAACATTGTCTAAAGACGCGGATGAAGAAACCACGTCCTCCTCATTGAGTGGAACATCGTCTGCAAAAAGTCGAAATAAAAGACCAGTCACTGATTCAATGATTGAAGTTGTTCAAACAATTGCTCCTAACTTGACGGTAGAGCAAATCCGTGCAGACCTAGAGAAGAGTGGATCTGTAGAAGCAACTATTGATAATTTCATGGCAAACGGGGACTTGCCACACCCTCGGAACCAAAAATCGACAAAGGAGGAATAAGAATGGTCCACGCAAAGGCATATTTTAAATTTCATGGGGAGTGGGGGAGCAAAGCTAACATCTAGATTCATCATAGAGGGACTATAATCCCTACATAAATCTCCTACTTTAAATACAAAAAAAAAAAAAATAAAACTCGGTGTGAATGAATTCATCTTACAGAATCAACGTAGGCGTGATACGTTTCTTTCCCTTCTTGTCTTTGAAAAATGTATCAATAGTAGGACCTTGCTTTTTCTGTGGCGTGTGTTGGGATGGAGTTGCAGTGGTAGTTGCAGTGGCAGTTGCAGTGGCAGTTGCAGAATCTTGAACATGCACTTTCTCCGACAGTAGAATGGGTTTGGGGCCCCCATACAGAGGGCCAAAGGTATCTGACGCAAAGTTGACGACGGAGCAGAATCCATCCATTGAACTAACGAGCAACTTCGTGCCATCCTCGTCCCATGTAAGATCAGTGATGGGTTGGTAATGTATGTTGGAAATCTGCCCCAAGGGTCGGAAATCATTGTCCGTCGAGTAAATGACTATACTATCCAATGTTCCAATAGCAAACACCACCTTATAAGGTAAAATCAGTGTTTCATCCAGACGTTTATATAGCCTAGGATTGAATGATACAATAATTGCTGGTTTCACAAATCCACCAACTCTGATCACGGGCCCATTTTGCAAATTGGTTATTGAATAGACGTAGACGCAGTTTAATCCATTTTCATCCAACCCCGCCGGTGTAATCAATAACGACCCATCGGGTGAGCAGCTCAACCTTCTAAAGAATGACTGAAGGTTTTCTGATTGGTACATTTGAGTACCCCCTAGCTTTTGAAATTTGTGGAGTAGTGATAACGACCCATTCTCGTCAAATTTATATGAAACAATACTACGATCTGCAGACTGGGTGAACAAATAACGATTTGAAAATGCCACACCTTGAATGAAGTGGTCGTTATTTTCTGAGGTGTGGACCGGTTTCCCCACCAACTTCTTTCCATTTTCAACTACGTGATACACCCTCAACATGTTATCCATGGATCCTATTGCCAAATAATCACCACACCAGCAAAGATCAACCAATTCGTTGCCAATTGTGATATTTCCAACACATTGCCAGCTCTCTTTCATGTCGTCGTCTTCTTCGTCACCCAATTCCTTGACAATGGTGTCACTTTTCGTCCACAAGAAGACAAACCCATCATCCCCCGCAGTCGCAAGAACATCACCTTTCGAATTGAATCTGACGACGTTGACCGCTTGCGTATGTTTTCTTAATGTAGATAAGTACTCGACTGAATTGTCAGCGAATTTCCAAATTCGGACATTGTTATCACCTCCTCCTGTAGCTAATCTCAAAATTTGGTGCTGAGCTGCATTTGGTTGCAAGTCCAATGAGTATATGGGCTTATTTTCATCATGCCAATGCACGGCTATTGTGACAGCGTCCATTTGCAGTGTGTAGTTAGTGTAGTTAGGAATAGTCAATGCCGGTTTCTGGCGAGTAAGAAAAAACAAAAGACGCGTCAGTTGGGTGCTACCATGTAGTCTTGAAACATACATCAAAGAGTAGCAACGCATTAAAGGTGGAGATGGATTGATTATGCGATAAACCAGAAACACTCGTAATTCAGTATTCCGTGCCTTCGAAACAAGCTTGGATCATCACCAAGGCTTTGCTGCTGCTTTTCAAATTTTACTTCTCCACTAGCTTTGAGTAATTCCGAACCACGGCATTTCGGCAAGTGGTGAAAGACACTGTTTAAAAACTATCCTTTGAGGTGCCTAATTTACTGATCAGAGAGAGGGGGAATCAGATACACTAATCCGGGATACACTGGGACTGTCTCTATGAAAGCTCCTAATATATGCTTGTTTCCAATGACCCCGCTCTGTCAAAATGAAAAAATTCCGAGCAATTGCCTCAAATGCAATACCATCACTAAACATAGCGCAAAGCAGGAAGAAAAAAAAAAAAAAGAAGAAAAAAATCTACCCTCTTCAGCCCCACATAGAGGTATAATAACGCACTATATCAGATGGAGGATCCCATATAACTACCCAGTTAGGCATATTTAAGCAACTCAGAAGAAGTACAAGGATCCCACAAGAGCTTTCATAATGTCAGAAGGAGCATCATCATCCTCCTCACCGACACCGAATAGAACCTCCGCCAAGGAAGAATCTCCAATGATTTCTGAACCATCAACTCACACGAGCGAGAGACAAAACTCTGAAGTGGAGGGCGAGCCAATAATACGACAAACATCTGAGCAAAAGAAATACTACGAAGCAGACGCAGGTGATGGAACAAAGGCACATGAACAGTACCTCCATGGAGTACCGTTGCTACTCACCATATTATCGTGCATTGTCACTCTATTCATTGCCGCTTTAGACCAGACTATTGTATCAACCATCTTGACCACTGTGGGTGAGCATTTCAACGCATTTGACAAAGTGGGGTGGTTAACTTCTGGTTTCATGTTACCGATGGCGTGCTTAATTCCCTCCTATGGTAAACTTTCAATCGCATTTGGCCGCAAAGCCACACTTTTGACCGGAATTGTCATTTTTGAAATTGGGTCCTTAATTTCAGCACTTTCCAACTCAATGAGTTTGTTAATTGGTGGTCGTGTGATTCAAGGTGTTGGTGGTGGTGCTATCCAGAGTATGGTGATGGTTATCTTGACCGAAAGTGTTCCAATATCAAGGCGGTCGTTGGTTTTTGCGTCAGTCTCGATGGTGTGGTCAACCTCGAGTGTGCTTGGTCCCATAATTGGTGGTGCTTTGGAAAAGATCACTTGGAGGTGGTGTTTTTACATAAATTTGCCAATTGGCGGAGTCAGTTTTTTAATTCTTGTGTTTGGATTCAATCCTCCAAAACCAAAGGGAAATATCCGGCAAAAGTTGTCCACCATCGATTATGTGGGTACGTTTTTCATGACTCTGGGACTAGTATTGGTTCTTTTGGGGTTGACTTTTGGTGGGATCGACTATCCTTGGCGATCAGCAGCGGTGATTTGTTTATTCACCATTGGTGGGATATTGCTCATTATATTTGCAATTTGGAATTTTGGGTATTCAACCAACCCTATAATTTTACCTGAATTTGTGAAATCATTTACTACAATGACTGCATTGATTAGTGCCATGTTCAATTTTGGATTCTTTATATCCAACTTGACTTATTTGGCTGTTTACTTCCAAGTGGCGTTTAATGCGAGCTCGTTGCAATCAGGAATAGACTTGTTGCCTCTAGTTATTTCTGTTTCAGTTACGTCAGTGGTCAACTCATTCTTTATCAACTGGACGAAAAACGTTAAAATTACAATGATTGTTTCAGGAGTTTTGAGTCCGCTTGGATCTGGACTCTTGTTGTTGTTGGATAAGCATTCAAGTGTTGGGAAAAGGATTGGGATTTTGATAGTTTCCGGTATAGCCATTGGTTTGCAGTTCCAGAGCTCCACTTTGAGCGCTCAACTAGTAGCTCCAAAGGATATCCCAGGAGCATTGATTTTGGTGACTGTTTTGCTTAATTTTGCTAGAGAGTTGGCATCAACTGTTTCAGTCACGATTGCCCAATTGTTGTTCCAAGTTACTGGAACGAGGTACATTCAAAATTTGCAACGTGATATCAGCAGAAATGTTGATGGGTATGCGGAGTTTACTAGTATGATGCCCAAGTCCTTGATATCTAATCCAAGGTTGGTTAATCAATTGCCTACTGAAGTTCAAGAGATGGTTTTGGATCAATTTGTAAAAGCATTGAAGAATGTATTTTATTTCGGATTGGGATTAGCTGTGGTGTGCTTTTTCGCGTCGATGTTCACAACGCTGAAAAGGATACCCAAGACGAAGGATATCAAAACAGGTGATAGCGAAAAAGATGAGGAGAAAACAGAGCAATTGAAAGAATCTAATGGTATAAATCGATTGCAGAATAAAGCAGATGCCACGAGTGTACTGAACTCACAAACCTCGCATCGAGTAAGCAAAGAAAATACAGATAGATAATTAGTCAAAAGCAAGATCTAAATAGAGTAATAACATTTGTGCATCAGCTAACTATCTTCTCTCTGTTTGAGAAACGTTTTGGACAAACGTTCTATATAAGACTTGAGTAGATCCTGTAACTGTGCCAATTGAGCTTCTTTAAATTTAACCTCCTTGGCAAAGTTGCTTATTATATCATCAGTTTCCTGCTCGATTCTTTTGATAAGTGAACTCGTTCGCTTATTCTCTTCGCCTCGTTCTGTTTTTAGCTTCATCACATCATCTAAAGCTTGATTTGTTTGTTTCAACTTTTCGGTCAATGTCTCGAGTTTCTTTTTATACTGCTCTTCTAAATCATCATATTTTTTTTCATATTTAGCCAATTGTTCGGATCTAGTTTCAATTTGTTTAGCCAAGTCGTTCGACTCTCGAGTGATGCTTTGCAATTTATCATTATGTTGACGTATATTGTAAAGATCATTTTCGTCTTTGTTCATCAGTTTCGAGATTTCTTCTGCAACTTTAATCAAATTCTTTACGCTCAATTCATTCACTTGCATTGTGTCAAGGGTCTTGCCCAAATTTTGATACTGCTTGTCAAATGTGACAAAGGTTTTTATCAACCCTTCAACATCCGTGTCCAAATCATTCACGATTGTAGTCAACTGACCAATGTCCTTCTCCTTGTAATTTTTCAAGTTTTCAATTTCGCCAGTCGTCTCATCGCACCTGTAACCAATGTCGTTGAGCCTCTGTGCTAGAGTATTTTTCTCTGTCTTATAGTCGTCATGTTGATTGGTTAACCTCTCTTGAGTCTCCTTAAGCTGACGAAGCTTGGACTCCAATTTTCTGTTGTAATTGAGAACGTGTTGCAACTCGTGTCTAGGAACATCACTGCGTCCGTCATCTTCAAACGTCAATCTCCTCTGCAAATCATTGATTTGTGAAACACGTGCCTCATTTTCCTCTTGTAGTTGTTGTATCCGATTAGTTGTGGCATCTGCTTCCTGAGCTAGCTCATCGTATTCCGACGAGATGCCTTCTCTAAAACGTAGGTAGTTTACAACAGCACTTAGTAATCGCCTCGTGCTCGCTCCCTCTGGACGCGTCAAGTCTAAAAGTGAGAGATCCTCCACGCCAATGTTGTGGAAAAACTTTCGGCAACACCTATACATTGTGAGGATCTCATCCGTAGGTGTTGGATCAATATCATCCTCCTCGGCTATGTCAGCGTCAACGGCACCACCATTGGGATCAGGACCTTCTGCGTTTGTTCCTGCTGCTGGCTCGTTATTCCATCTTTTCAACACTTGCAACCTTCTCTTTGCTTGATCCTTTGATCGATCGTACAAATTGTCAATTCCCATAAACACCTCAAGGAAATGAGTAAACAAGCTGATAATGAACTCGCTGGTTGGTTTTGCAACTAGATCTAACGAGACGTTGAAATCACACTCCAATAGGCATGAGGTTATCTCTCTGGTATCCAAGTATGGAAATGCGTCTTTTTTAGCTAGTGGTCTTACTCCTCTAACTGGAGTAGCAGCAATAGTGCTTTGTCTTCTCATATATGTATGGCGTTGAGTGTAAATATGTATGTGTTGATTCAAGACTGTTGTGTTGTGCTGTGCTGTGTTGTGTTGTGCTGTGTTGTGTTGTGTTGTGGTTGTAGATATCTTTTTGTTTACAGTTGAATGTCGTGTCGTGTTTTAAATTGTGTTTACGACAAAGGAAAGAGAAAGAGAGAGAGACGAAAAAAAATTGAACAAACACATCGATTAATCAGACAATTTATAATTACAAGTCAGATAGTGCACTTATTTTCAAGGCAATAAGGGCATCCCAATCAACCGGGAACTAAATACTATAACACTAAACTGGAAGTTAATTTGCCACCTAATTCTGGTACCCGTTTATTGAATTTATAATTTTTTATTTTTTTTTCAGAAATCATGCCTAACGAGGAGTATGTGACTGATTCCAGTTCTGACTTTACAGAGTATTGGATTGACTCGTTCTTGGGTATAAAGGGTAACGAGTACTTTTGTGACATAGACGATGAATACATACGTGACCGGTTCAATCTAACTGGGTTGAACCAAGAAGTGTCCAAGCTTCCGACGCTAATAGATATAATAACCGATGTCATTGATATCGACTCGCAACCAGAAGAGCATCGAGAGCCGTTGGAACATAACGCGAGGATTTTGTATGGTTTAATTCACGCACGATACATTTTGACGACAAGGGGTTTGAACAAGATGTTTGAAAAGTTTCGTAATGGAGACTTTGGTTATTGTCCAAGAGTTCATTGTCAGCTTAACCCTTTATTGCCAATAGGATTGAATGACCAACCACGTATGGCAAGTGTCAAATTATACTGTTCCAAGTGTGAGGATTTGTACAATCCCAAATCGGGACGCCATTCAGTAATTGATGGTGCTTACTTTGGCACTTCGTTTCCAGCCATGTTTTTCCAGAATTTCCCCAACATGATACCAATACATCCAAAGGAGACATACGTGCCTCGAGTATTTGGATTCAAGTTACATGAATACTCGAAATTGACAAGGTGGAGAGAGTTGCAGAGATTAAAGTTGGAGAGAAGGTTGACCAACAGCGGTATACAGATAAAGGATGTAGTTGGTGGCTTTCAAACTGATGGTGGTCAAACTGCAGCCCGCAATGCATGATGTATCGTAGCACACTTAGGCTTTTGTATTAATAGACATAAAATTCGAAATTGTCTTAAAAAGACAAAAAAAAAAAAAAAGAAGAAAAAAAGAAAAATAATTATCTCTCGTGATCAGGATACACCATACTTCACACCAAATGTTGTGCTCGAGATCTACAAGAGCAGTTGCATTGGCGAGGAGGTACTCTAATGTGTCCTCTACACCCTCCACAATCCAAGAGCTAGATCGATACGACAACCTTCCACAGAACTCCAGGGTGTTTTCAATGATTCAACCAACAGGACGAATCCATTTGGGAAATTATCTAGGTGCAGTGAAGAGCTGGAGAACCTTATCCAATTCCAACCCAACGAGCCGATTCATTTTCGGTATTGCTGACTTGCATGCATTTACAAGTTTCAAGCCGGCGTCAGAATTGAAGGAGAATAGATATCAAGCAATTGCAAGCTTATTGGCAAGTGGGTTGGACACAAGTAAATGCATACTATACTTTCAATCCGCCGTTCCTGAACATCTGGAGTTGAGCTGGTTTTTAACTTGTATGACAAGCATGGGCCAGTTGAATCGAATGACGCAATGGAAACTGAAGGCTCAGCAATCGCAAACGAGTTCAATAACAGATGAAAAGGTGATGGAATCCACAAAAGCTGGAGTGTTTTGCTATCCTGCATTGCAAGCTGCCGACATTTTGCTATACAGATCAACCCATGTACCCGTGGGTGATGATCAGTCGCAGCATTTGGAGCTTTGTAGAAACCTTGCAAAGCTTTTCAATAATACGTACGGTGTGGACTACTTCCCCTTACCCAAGACCTTGTTGACTCCTGCAAAGAAAATCCTTAGCTTAAAGAACCCAGAAAAGAAAATGTCCAAGTCAGACCCGGTACAAGCCTCATGTGTTTACGTGACCGATTCACCAGAACAAATTCAACTGAAGATACGGAAAGCCACCACTGATTCGATACAAGGCGATTGGAGTTTTGATCCAGTGGAAAGACCAGGTGTGTCCAATTTGATCAATATTATATCAGGACTAACAAATGAGTCCATTGAGGAAACCGTGGCAAGTGTGCAACACTTGAAGGACCATAAAGGTTTGAAAGATTATGTTTCTGAGTTGATTATCAATGAATTCAGTGATAAGAGGCAGTTGTACGACGAGCTTCTCAAGAATAAGGATTACCTTGATCATGTTTGCAAGGAGGGAAGGGATAGTGCTCGAGAAGTTGCACTGAAGAATCTAGGTGAGATCAAGAGTATCGTGGGGATGGATTAAAAGACGTACTGTACTTTGTGAATAGACTTTGTATATAGACCTTAGAAGATGTATTTTGATAATTCATTAACCTTTCGATGAAGTGCCCTCATATTTTCAATTCTTTGTGTGTGGTACGTCTCCTACACTGTGTCTGTGTTCCTTCCATGTTGCACAGACTCGTTATAGTTAGTGATGGTAGCAATTGCTGCGAAAATCAGCCACACAAAAACCCACCTAAACAAAAATAATTTTCGCGTTGTTTTGATTCACGTAACAAAAGATACAACAGTGTAACACAAACACCCTTCAACGTTGGCTTGCACACACCTCACAAGACTGTTATACGGCCTGTCTCACCATAAAGATTGGATCAATCAACAGATTGGTGAGCATTTGTAGGGATATCAAGAGTAGGCCATAGCGTAGAGGAATGGCAATACGGATCAACAAGTACACGCTTTAAAACTATAAACAACCAAAAATCATCAAGTCAATTGGTCCTGAAATTCCACTTGATTTGCGAGAGAGACATATATTTACACACACATACACACACATACACACACATACATCTACAGAATACACAACAAACAACAAAACAACAACAAAAGAGCAACAAAAGAGCAACAAATTTTTTTCTCTTACCCAAGGCAAATCCCAAACCACAACAAACTTTTCATTGCTACTCCTGTTGGTCAGTGTTATTCCTTTCCATCAAGGCCTACACTTTAATACAGCACCCTGACAACAAGCAGTACCAACATCCATCATCATCATCATCATCATCATCATCATCATCATCATCATCATCATCAACACCAAGTCACAACACATCCACTCACAATGACTACCGAAGATGACCAAAAGCAGATGCAAATAAAGATACTATATTCGTTTGATGACAATCCAACTACATTCCTATCAAGATCATCACAGCAGTTCCCTGTGCAAACAGCCGAAGTGCCAATCCAAACAACATATTCTGATGTCCCAGAACTAATAACCTTGGGAGCATTTGAGCTCCGAAGCTGCATCAAGCAGTTGCTTCGATCCAACCCTGAGAATTTCAAGCTAAATTCTCACGACTATGCTGTTTACTACAAGGATATCACTGAGCAGCCGGATGAGCCATTCGTTTCAAATGGCGTGCTCTCGTCGCTTGTATCGTCAAAGGAATCGTGTCTTATACCTGGTAGAGTATGTCAGAATGTGTCTGCCAACTTTTTGTTTGGAAATAAGAAGAAGGCTTCGTCGTTGACGTTGGAGGTGAGGTTGAAACTACACACCATTGAAGGCTCACCTGCAATGGCTATGTCTGCTGGTGTTTCTCAATCACAGCCAAGGCAGCATCAACAACAGCAACAAAATCATCTCCAACAACAACAACATCTGCTGCTGCTGCTGCAACAACAACAACAACAACAACAACAACAACAAC